TCATGCCAACCAAACAGAAAAAAAAAATTAAGGCTCGTTCACAACAAATGTTCCCTACCAACACATATGTATCTCAATGCTCACCTTATACCAGTAAAATCATAAATTTCGTAAATAAAATAAATAATACGTAAATAAATAAGCCTTTTACTTTTTACAAGATTTGCGAAACTGCTTGGCCACTTGTGAGACAGATATCTGACGCCATTGACCGCAACGTCATCACCTAGTACGAATTTTTCCGCATCTGTCTAGTGAAGCTGTCAACAAACCGACCAGAGCTAGCCGATCTGTCGTCAGTATTTTCACGAATACGAGTATACGAGGCAGGTAATTATAGTATTAATGAAAGCAGTCACTGCATTAACAAATAATGAGTAATTTAAAATATTTCCATACACCTAGGTGTGTACGTATGTATGTATATATATATATATACATTTCATATTGGTACATATAAACAAGAACTTATAATAACAGTAATAAGAAGTAGTCGATCGTAATAATGATAAAGCGCGGCTTAGGTGTACTCTATGTCCAGAGCGCTTAGTGTATGTTTGTATGTATGCAATATGGTATATATATATTTTATCTTTTCCGGATTACGTTGTATCGTTGTGTGGGTCGTTTATTACTATAGTTTTTGTTGATTTATAATTTGTTGTTATATCTGAAACTTTGCTTTCCTTAGCATAACCACTTCACTACGATCAATTATTGTTTTCTATTAGTAACTAGAAGTACATTTACAAACTTATTTAGTATAAGTAAATGTATGTATGTATATATGTATTTGTGGATATTTGTATGTATCAGTGTAGGTGTACTTATCTAATAATGATTCTAAATGCTGCTGTTAAGTATAAAAAGCGAAATTCTCAGCAACTGGAAATTTATTAACGTACCGCCGCAGCGTTGAACGGTTCGAAAACTTTAGCAACATAACGGATTATAGAACACAGTAGATAGAACCATACTTCGTGCTTGACGTTGATCGAGTGAATAGTCGAAATGACAGCAGGAATGCAAGCAACTGGTGTGAACGAGAAAAACCTCTCGGAAGTGCAAGAGTTTTATCGAAATAAAAGTGTATTCCTTACGGGCGGTTCGGGATTTTTGGGAAAAGGTACGAACGACCGTTTTTTTTGCAAATATGTCGATGAAGTTTGGTGGCAAGCCAATGTATGAATTGTAGAGAAATGTGTGAATATGTGCAAACGAAGTGGTTACTTTTTTATTAGTGAAATGACTAGATAAACAAGTGATAAAAAATAACTGGCGGTTGCAATAAAACATTAATTTTATGTCTTGAAATACTGTCTGTGCATAGTGATGCGTCTTTAATTATATTTGATTGTTAGGTAATATATCTAACTATAATTTTTGTTATTGCTTAGTTTGCTTAACTATTAAAAAACATTTAAAAGTTGCTGCCTTAAAACCCGGAAGTGAAAAGTCGAAAGTTGCCATCTCTTTGAACTGTCAGTCATAAAAATTATGAAAAAAAATATTTCATGGCTCAAAGGCTTACAGTGGAAAATATTATTTGAAAATGGTTGCCATCTGTTTAAAATTTTTATTACTTAAACTAAAATGAAATAAAATTTAATAATTAGGAGCTCAAATTAAAAAAATGATTAGTCTTTGAAGTGAGTTTTTTGTAAAATGTTGCAACCTCTTTGAAAATTTTAATTCAAAATTTCATAAAGATTATAATGTGGGACCAAAACTAAAAACGTTTATGATTTAATAAAACATATTAAGTGCCACATTTCTAGTACTAAATGGAAGGTATTTGAGAAGTCTTTGTGGTCTTCTTACTGTCCAACTCTGCTTTAATTTACAATAGACAAATTTTTTTTGATGTTTACTAGAAAATTTTTTTTTTGGCTAATTAAGCCTAAAATATTTGTTGTAATTGCAACAAAAACTGGGGTTGTGATTAATTCTTAAGTGGCACACCTAGTGAGAACGCCAAAAACAATGAGTTTTCTGAATTCTTTTTTAAAGAAAACTACGGCATGAAATGTTTTAAAATTTTGAGGATATATTTATTCATAATTAGTGAGTATACACAAAGAATTTCAAAGGAACAAATTTAAGTTTTAGCGAGTTATTGGCTATACCGCTATATACTAAACAAAAGGTCCTAAACTGCTGCAGTGTTTGCAGCCTTTACAGTGATTAAAAACAAAAAAATATATAAATACTATAAATTCATAAGGTACTGCCTATACAATGACCTACGATTGTTAATAACAATTTAAATCTAACAAAATAACAGATTTGGAAAAATATGTTGAATTTTGAAAAAATAGTGATAATGTTTGTTGCGCCAAAATTAGATTTTCCATACAATCAAAAAACTGAACGTTCTTTGTACTGAGAAATATATAACAAATAAGCGAAAAAACTCTAAGCGATCGAATGATTTGTGCTTGAGTTACAACTGCAGCCAATTTGTGTAGTTTTGAGTAAAACGCGTTTTAAGATAAACCGATTGAACTGAGCGGCTACACTTTAGACAATTTTAATTACAAAAATATTTGAAATATTGATTTAAAATTTAGTATGCTATTTTTAAATGTATATTCTATAGAAATATGCAAAACAAAATAAAAAAAAATTGTTTTTTGAATATTTATAATAGGTGTGCCCCTTAATTTTTTAATCGATTCGATAAATATTTTACGAGTATATCAAGATTTAGTAAATATTTATACTATTTGTAAATATAATTACTTGAGATGTCTTTAGTATACTACGTGTCTATAGTACAGCACAATGAGTCATTGCAATTTACTTAGCTTCAAAATGGTTTCATTGGAGTGATTATCACGATCTTTTTAGTTAGTTTTAAATTTCGAAAACTGTGCGTTTTTTTATTAAATTAAGAAATTATCCTTTCAGCAAGTGACGTTATATCATTCTTAAAAAAATTTTTGGCGAACAATGTATTTGTGTAAAACCCAGACTTAAACTGGAATTGATTGATTGCAAATATTAATTAATTTGTGCACTCTAACAAATATTTAAAATTAATTTTTTGATGATTTCACTTAAAATTGTGTTTTTATATCTCGATTATTAATAACATGCCAATAAAGTTTCAAATATTAAAAAAAGACATTGTTTCAAAACAAAACACTTGATTTGTGTAGGAATGTACAATAATTTGATTGGCGTTTTCCAGTTTCAAAAGATAAAAAACCAAAACCTGTTGTTAAGAACGGATTAACTTTTAATGTTTACATTACAATGCTGAAATAAACTGCAAATCACTCCGCGGATTAAATCAATGTACATTTAATTGAGATACACGTGCGTTTTGTAAGAATTTCCTAAGAAATTGTAATTAAAAAAAAGTGTTAAATCATAAAAATTAAAAATGTATGACAATATAATTAAGTAGGTGATTAAATAAGGGTTCATTAATATACGAGTAACTACCACAATTCTAATTAGTTATTGGTTTACTTAAATATATACATATGTACATACAGGTTATGTTATACTTCCTCAAATTGTAATCGCCTTGTATTTTCACTCCTCTAGTATTTATTGAAAAAATATTGCGGGCCACTGACGTCAAATGTATTTACATATTAATGCGACCCAAAAAGGGCCAGGCTGTAGAAGAGCGCATAGAAGCCATGTTCAAAAACACTGTAAGTACTTAAAAGATAAAGTATGGTCGCGACAAAGAATACTGTTAAGATTTAATACAAATTATAAAACCTCCAGTTGTTCGCCGAATTGAACAAGTTGAAACCGACGGCTAGAAACTGTTTAATACCAATACACGGCGATTGCCAGTTTAGCAATTTGGGTATCTCACCAGCAGATCGTCAGACGCTACTCGATGAGGTGGAAATTGTAATGCATAGCGCCGCGACCGTACGCTTCAACGAGCCGCTCTACAACGCACTGGCCATTAATGTACGCGCCACCATGGATCTTATGCAATTGGCAAAGAAAATGCGCAAGCTTCAAAGCTTCGTACATGTCTCTTCCGCCTTTGCAAATTGTACAGTCTTTCATGTGGATGAGGTCTACTACAAAAATGAGCTCAACATTACAGCGGGAAATATGTGCAAAATCGCGGATTTATTGGGTCCGGAGAAAACTAACCGTATGACGAGTGAATGGTTGGGCAAATCGCCCAACACGTACACTTTCACAAAAGCACTTGCTGAAGAGGCAGTGCTGTCGGAAGGAAAGGAATTGCCGATTTGTATCTTTCGACCCGGCATAGGTAAGTTGCCTCTTTAGAATCTAGCAGAATACAGAGTACTTAGGGGGATATATTTATTAAACAATTTGATTTTTCTATAATGTGCAGTTATACCAACCTACAATGAACCGCTCGTTGGTTGGGTGGATAATCTATATGGGCCGATGAGCATTTTGTATGGTGTAGCGCACGGCGTAATTCGTGTCCTCTATTTAAATTTGAATACGAATGCAAACTTCGCTCCCGTGGATATGTGCGCCAACATGATGCTGGTCTCGGCGTGGAATACGGCGAAACAAGTGAACCAAATGTAAGTCTTTTTATCGTAATCTGAAGCATTTCATATTCTTTTATAGTACCTCTTTGTTACTTCGGTTCGTCAAAATAAATGTTTTGAGTTAACATATTGAGGCTTAAGATTCGTTCGAGCATTTAAAATAGTAGTCATCATATACGTACTGAAATACGTCTCACTTACTACTAGATGAAGTCTTCGGGGAAGATGTCCTGGCAGCAATGCAATTTTGTTGTTTGTACGTCTCCCATAACGTGGTCATAACGATAGACAATTGCAATTTTTTTCATAGACCAACTTTCATTAATCGAGTTATATACAATTATATATACATATATACCTATATATCTTATCTCATAGCACCTCTCTGCCTCCACCCATTTACAACTTCGTGCCTGATGAACGAAACATGCTGAAATGGGACACCTATCGGCGAACTTTGGAAGAGCACGCTCCGAAAATGCCACTTACTAAAATGATTTGGTATCCCTTTGTGATAATAGTCAACTCCAAATTATTATATCATATTCTGATATTATTCTACCACATAATACCGGGCTACATCTTTGACTTCCTACTACTGCTGATAGGAAAGAAGCGAAGGTAAGCGAATATATTCCACAGATCGCTTGAAGTTTGTGTAAATATGTTTGTTATATTAATATTGACTGTTGTCTCGATTCAGAATGATAAAAACATATCAAAAACTTCATAAACAAATCGGTGTACTGGACTATTTTGTTGAGCACAAGTTCACCTTCACAATGGAAAACACAACCAAGTTATGGCATTCGCTCTCTCGTGCCGACCAAACAATATTCAATTTCAATATATGCGAAATAAATTGGCCAGAATACTTTCAGAACTCTTTAATGGGTGTGCGCTGCTTTATGGGAAAGGAACAACCCGAGACCATACCGAAGGCCAAACAGCTGATGACCAGGTATGCATTTTACTGTGTAAATGCCTGCGCATAGTAAATTCTATATTTTATCTTTTCAGACTGCTCATTTTACATCGCACCGTACAGGTACTAGTCTACGGCGGAGCTTGTGCTTTGCTGTCGTGGGTCTTCCTCCGCGTTTGATAACTAATGTTTAAGTGAATTTATTGCAATGTGATAATTAGGGATGATTATAGTACTCGTTGGATTTGTTTGTGTTATTTAAACACGAGTTTAAATTTCGTAATTAAATATGTTCACATGTTCATAACGATGAGGTTTTAATTCATTCTGATATTTAATGATTTACATTAATGTAGTATGTACATATTTAGAAATTAAGTACTTGATTTATTTTGTTGGTGATTTGTTTGCTGCTTTTCTGTTCATTTGTTTGTGAGCATATCTAGTCGAACTTAAAAATTAGCAATAATATTTCATGAAATCATAGATTTTGTAAGTATTGAATAAAATACCTATGTATATAAGTTTTCATTGAATTTTTAATATTCTTCTATCATTCAAGGTCCTCTCATAATTGTGAAAGTTTATTTTTATATGCTGACGGTTGAGCTTTCACTCTCATGTTGGTGTCACCAATCTACTAGTAGAATGAAATTTTGATATTGAAGTCCAATAGATAGCGCAAATGTATCATTGTATGTATATTGCAAGAGCCATTTTATTGACAATAGAAAATTTCGAAGACACGTGTTCATTCATTGGGAAAATAAAATTCAAATGACATTTAATTATCAATTTCAGTTGTGGTGATATTTCTCACATGATACTGACTTTGAAAAAGCTGAAAATTAGAATGCAAAAATAACAAAATTTAAACCGGTTGTGTTATTTAATTGTTCATGTCATTTCAGCAAAAAGTTAATTAATTGGTTTAATGAAAGCATTTCGCATCATGTCACCTTTAGTGATATATATTTTCTTTTTGTGCCATATAATTGGTTTTTAGTGGAATTAATGGGCGCTATTAACATAGATAATTATCAAATAGATTAATGATAGGTTGTAGCTTTACAATTATATCTATTATTATATTACTCTATATATATCTATAATAGGTATGTAAACTTGGAGTTATAAGTATTCCTCGTAAATCGAATTATTGCTGCCCTTAACTGTGTCATTGTCTACTAATTCAAGTGACTTTGAGGTCAACTAGCTCCAACACAAAATTGGGAGTAGAAGTGTCTGACTTAGTACTAAAGCCGGGTAGCACTTGGTGTAAATGCTTATGTCATGCATTTTTGTTGGATACTGATTGATATTTTATATGTATATGATATAATTAATTGCACAGGTCTCTTATTAAAGCGCCACACTTCATTATAAATTATATTAAAATTATACGAAAAGGTTTATATATATATTTATATATACATACATATGTACGTATATAAACTAGACCCTAGTTGTTTTGCAAGCCGTTTCAGACTTTAGTATTCTGCGGTTTAATTAATTCTGTTTCTATTACACATATTCGCACTTACATATGTAAACATTTGGTATTAAGTCTATTTATTTTTAATTATCAAGTGCGTAGAATAGCTGATATACTAAAAATGCAATAAGTGCATTTTGTCTTGTTGCGAATTTCAAAGGAAAGCTAAAAGTGGTTGGAATAATATCTAAAGGACTGAAATCATATATTCAAAGCTCAAAACTTATTAAGTTTCCGAAATTCTTACCGCCAATATTCTTTAACCTGGCGATTTTCCGAATTGTAGGAGACTCTATAAAATATATATATAGAAATGCTCAGGACTACGAGCATTAGCTATGTCAGATGGTTCTATCCATCTGTGTGTATATATACGAAGTTTTTGAGACAACAATCTGAAATTTTGCGCCTTTTCTTTTCTCACCATGAAGTTGCTCATTTGTCGGCATATAGCTGCCATACAACCTGGACGATCGAAGTCAAGGTATGGAAAACTTTTCATTTGATGAGGTGTCTTCAAGAGATTTGGCCATGGGTTATTGTCTAAAAGAACGGAGTAATCGCCGGAGAAACTGTTCAGATCGAGACACTATAGCATATAGCTGTTATCTTTTGTATTTGTGAAGGGTATTGCAGCTTTGGTACAACCGAAGTTAACGTTTTTTTAGTTTGGTTTTTAGATCTTCAATTTTGAATTCGAAATAAAACAATTTTTTGAAATTTGACTTCGAGTAAATTTTTTTCAACATAGCGGAACGTTGCAGAGTTTTAGTGTTATTAATCATGTTTTGAAGTATTTGAGTCAGGTTATTGTTAGTTAAAAATTATGTATGTAACAAAAATGAATTTTTGTAATGTAGAATGGAAGAGAAATTTAAGTGTTCTAATCACTCAATTCTGAACTTAACATATTTCACATTTTCGAAATGAAATTCATTATTCCATTTACTAATGTAAAAATTGTAAATGCACTTCGCGGAAGAAATATTCAAATAGTCATTGCATGCGTTAGTCTAGTTCATAAACTATATAAACGGCGTATGCGGTCTTCTTCAGTCTTCAGTTTGTTTAGTGACCATTAGTCGGGGTTAAATAAAACATATACGAATAAAATCGTTAAAGGATTACGCGGGCAGGCTCATCTATAAAATCACTGAATTTAGCAAAATGTGCTCCGATATACAAGATTATTATCGAAACAAGACGGTGTTCGTAACAGGAGGCACCGGTTTTATGGGAATAGGTAAAAAACTCGACAGATTTGTTGCATAAAAAACAAAAATGGCGGTGTGAAACACTGACTACATATTAAGGCTTGTGAAATTATTCTTAAAAAATGTGTTATGAAGCAGAAGTAAATGGATTCTGGTGCCAGTGTATATAATTATATACTTTAAAGATTAAAAACAAAGATTGTGGCGACACAAAGCAGTTTGTGAGAAAATATAAAGATTCTTTCAAATAAAAGTTAAACATTTTGGAAGAAAAATATCCAAAATCACTATATAGGTCGAAACCTGTGCTATTATTAATGAACAATCAGTATATTTCAGACACATTATCATTAGTTTTGCTTACGAAGCGACCTTTGTCACCACACCGACACAAAAAATTATTCACTAAGTAGTAATTTGCGTTGTACGAATCGAAAAACATCAAGTCCGGATCAAATTGAACGTAACCATCACCATAAATAGCACGATGAGGTGGGGTACTGTTGTGATTGTGACAAACTTTTGCTAAGCATTGAGAACCACTTCAATGTGATATTCACCTACTATGGTATTTGGCATTAGATTAAAAGTTCAAAAAGAGTAAAAATTTTTTAAGCTAGGCTACACAAAAATCAACTATTAATGTGAGAATCGCCGAGATCACAATTTTATACGACATACCTTTTGTTATACCACTTTGACAAGTGATGAAAGTAGTACACGATCGGAATGACATATTTGATTAAACGACAAATAATATGCGATCGGATTGACTTCGGGACGGTTTGAGAAATTAAGTTATGGGAGTGTTCAGTGAAAACAATTGAACTTTATTCTACACGTGCAAGTTGATTGAACTCAGTTATCATGATTAAAGGCTAGGTCTAAGATCTACGCGAACTGCATTATGGAAATGTATGCGCACAAATGATGCAACCTTGTATTTACATACATACATATATACATAGTGCAGTGTTCATGCGCTGAAATATTTATCATGACGTGTCGTATTTTAAATACAAAGCCGTTTAAACATTTTTGAATTCAATATTATAATGGGGTTGCATGCTAATATAAAATCTCTGAGTATTCCATCAAGACAACACTATGCAAATAACTTTCCCCATCTACTGTTTCTAGGTAGCAACCATGCTTTATGGTTTCTTACGCCTCCAACCAGACTTCAACCTTTGCCTTTAATGGTTCGCAGTACACTTTAAAGTCTCAAATATAGTATTAGAAAGAATGTGGAATGCATCTAAACATCTTTAATTTTCCAAGGAGCGAATTGGTTGAATGAATTATCGTTCAAACCAATCAATATTTAAAAGACTTTGTAACAGAGAATTTAAGAAAACAGAAGAAGCAAGAAACACAAAGTGGTCCTCCGTCTCCAGTTATACTACTCAATTTATATCTCGGTCCCTTTTGTTATAACCTACTCTCCAATTGCACTTTTCTTCGTACCCTATCGGTCAAGTGACTCCACAGATTTAAACGATGGTTACGATGTACAAACACACAAACACATTTTCAACCAAATATGTATCTTGCATTTACTAAATCTTGGATCATATAATGCAATTTTTTCAATTTTAGTTCTCATTGAAAAATTACTGCGAGCAACCGAGGTTAAACGTATTTACTTGATGGTGCGTCCCAAAGCTGGTAAAAGTATTGAAGAACGTTTGACTAATTTCTGCCAAAATGTGGTAAGTGGGAGAGTGCACACGTAAAAGAAGCAAACTTTTTTTCATGTTTGATTACCATATTATGTGTCAGGTCTTCGAGAAGCTGAGAAATACAGGTGTCACACTAACGGACCGACTTCATACGATTTTAGGCGACTGTCAGACCTCTAATCTCGGCATTTCCGCTGAAGATCGTAAAGTATTGATTGCGGAGGTGAATGTGGTGTTTCATCTGGCGGCCACAGTGCGCTTCGACGAGCCGCTTCAAAAGGCAGTTAGCATAAATGTACGTGCCACATTGGATTTATTGGAGCTAGCCAAAGAAATGCGAAACCTTGAAGTAAGTAAGAAAAGCTGCATGAGATCAAATTTACTAAACACTCCGCTTATGTCCATGTGACGTACACATTTGTGTGTAGGCCTTTGTGCATGTCTCCTCAGCGTTCGCTAACTGTGTGGTACATTCAATCGATGAGAAATATTACGTGCACAAATTAGGTATTGGCGCTGTTAAAATGTGTGAATTGGCTGAGAGTTTGAGCGTCGAGACTACAAATAAACTGGCGTCAGTACTATGTGCGAGTTATAAAAACACATACACATTCACGAAGTCTTTAGCCGAGGAAGCGGTTCTTAGTGTGGGACGTTCCCTACCAATTAGCATATTTCGGCCTGCCATAGGTTTGTACGAAACGAACCAAGTAATTTGTATTTAATCACTATTAACCCCTCGATTTTAGTTATTCAAACCTATAAAGAACCACTTACCGGCTGGGTCGGCAACTTCTACGGACCTTCAGCGGCGCTATACGCATGCGCACGTGGCGTTTTACGAGTAATGCAAATGAAGTCACAACATAAGGCTCATTTAGTGCCGGCAGATTCCTGTGCCAGCTTAATGTTGGCCATCGGTTGGGAAACTGCGCGCTCAGATCAGCGGCAACGGTATGCCAGATTTGCGGGAAACATTTCAAATATTTTATTAACTTTACATTTTCAGTTTAAATTTGGCACCACCGATTTACAACTACGCACATGACGATGAGAATCCACTGATCTGGAAACAGTATATGAGTGCCATTACTGAATTGGGCTCCGAATTACCTATTTCCAAAATGATTTGGTTCCCATTCATGATAACTGTTAGTAAAAAATGGTTATATGATATATTGACTTTCTTCTACCACATCATACCCGGCTTTATAATTGATTTACTTCTGACGCTAAAGGGCAAGAAAAAAAGGTGAGGTTTGAGAACTTGGGTCTCATGTGGTAACTAGCTGTTGTGCAAGCACTGATATTTACTGGGTAAAATGAGACAATTTACTATATCAACTCAGTGTCCCTTGATTCTTTACTTTTGAAAACGATAATTATTGTCACGACGCATTTCCTGAATGAATTAACCTCTGTTGTCCGTATTTAGAATGATGAAACTGTATCGAAGCATACACAAACTTACTGGCGTAATGGAATATTTCATTGTGACTGAATTCACATTTACTATGGATAACACCAAATCATTGTGGAACTCTTTATCAACGAGGGATAAGGATATTTTCAACTTTGACATTCGGTCCATAAACTGGAAGGAATATATACAGTTCTCACTTACAGGCATGCGAATATATTTGGGTAGAGAGGGACCGGAAACTATACCAAGGGCGAGACTATTGTATAAAAGGTAAGCAGCTCAACATACATACCGAATATGTAACTGTGTATTTCTTTTAAATATTTTTGTACTTTCTCTCTTTGCGTAGATTTAAGATTTTGCACCAACTGTTACAAGCTGTGGGGATCGGTCTGTTGATCTCATTAGTATGGATTTTAGTAAGGAAAGTTTTTTCTTAATTTCTTTCTTTTTGATAATATATGTGTAGAAAGTTTTCGTCGAAAAAAATATTGTAAGTATGCTAAATTGCTTGAAAATATATAAAAAAAAAGCAACACATGATGTGTGAGAGCAATGTTTTATTTCATTTAAACATTTCTTATTAGAAAACATTTGCAAAGGGCTTTACAAGGCTTTGCAAGAGTCACAGGATAAGAAAATGAAAATACGTTTCTAGCCAACGGAAGAATATTTGATAGCCCCCTGAATAACTAAAAGAATACAGTTTTAGGATCAAATAGTACAAATAGTTTTAGAAAAAATTATGAGGTGGCTTCTTTATAGTTAAAACTCAAACCTCTTTTCAAAATATTGCTTATATAATGTACTTGTTGATTCACTAATGCACGCTCACACATTTTTACATAAATTTATCGGAAACTTTTCACTCACTGGAAGTGCCCACCGAGGTGCAGAGATCCTTGCTTGCATTTGTTGGCGACGCTTTGAAGAAAATATGCTCTATAGTTGTTGTTGTTGTTGTACTTGGTAACGAAGTTGTTTGTGTGTTTACCTTGGGCAGCACTTGCAAGCAGATCAGAATCAACAATGGCATCCATTCGGATTGCATGCGGATCCACTGAATTTCAATCATTATTTGCGTCTACCGATGTCAAAACAAAATTATAATTTTTCCTTCGGTTTTCTGGTTTTGACTAATCAAACTCACAACTTTCTATACCCATCACACCTTGGAGACACAAGTCGCCGCCTCAAATTTAAATTTGTGCACTTAACGATATAGCAACTTCGAGTTGCTAAACGAATGTTTTGGCGCGCGCGTGCAAAGCCGAATGTATATATGAAAACGAGTGCTTCGATTGCTTTAGAATTTTTCTCGCGCGGAGACGCATCCACTTCAGTTGTAAAACTACAACTGATGGTTTGTAGCAGCTGTAAAAGATGCCGTAGTTGCAATACACACGCATACATATGTATTTATGTAAGCGCTGGCTCATCGGTGGGCAGTTGGGGAACGAGTGTGGCGTGTGCCGATTGCCGAACGGAAGTTGTAGAAAAGAAGCAAAATTTAGCCAACTGATAGTTTCTCCACAAGTGAAGTATCGCATACACACACACACACATATATATATATATATATATCGAGTGTCTGCCGCTAGCTGAATGGGTAATCGTCTACGGCTTTCGGCTTTACACGCAGCTAGGCGGCGCGGTACGACTAAACTAGGGTAATATTACGTACGTTTATACACGCTGTGGTTCATTTCCACTTCCGCTAGAAATTAAGGCCAACAATTGCCGACAGCGGTAGCGACAGCGAAGTGTATGAGCGTAACTGAGAAATCGGCGAATTCGCATTATGGAACTACCAACACTCACACACACAGACACACTACATCACATGCCGGTGTGGTTTAGAAGAAACTGAAAACATTTTCGTCGCTTGGCGGGAATAATTCTCCGACCGCGGCATAATTTCATTTGCGGCTAAGTACTTGGATGGCAACTGGAGACCGAGCAACAAAACAAGGAACACATCTCTGCAGATGAAAATTTATGCGCGGCAAAAAAGTGACTTCCGTTTCGTGGTTGAATTGGAAGTGGAGACATTTGTTAGTTATCTTTTAGTTCCTTTCAGCCAGATTTTATAGCCAATAAGTGAGTTAATGAGCAAAAGAGAATACAACTGTGTTTATGAGAAGTAATATAATTTGAGAAGCAAAGTTCAAATTTATAATTAATATACTCGTAACAAAGAAGAACCGCAGGCCTTAAGAAAAATGTTACAAGAAGTTTCTTAGTTGATGCTGAGCAAACAAAAGCCAATTCAGCTAACCAAAATTATTTGAGGTTAGATTGCGTTGACTACTTTACAAGGTTGAAGGCTAGTTTCATATACAGTGTTTTTAGTTCATAAAAAATTTATGTGCGAAAGTTAAGTACAGCTTAGTTCTATCTTTTTATACTCTGAACCGGATATATTCAGTTTACTACGATATTTATAACACCTAGAAGAAAACGTCGGATATTCTATAAAATATATATCAGCATGACGAGCTGAGTCGATTTAACCATCTGTCTGTACATATGTCAACTAGTTTCTCAGTTTTTGAGATATCGAACTGGAATTTTGCACTCGTCCTTTATTCATAAAGAAGCACATATGTCAAAACGGCCGATAACGTACTACCATGGCATACAGCTGTCATTCAAGCTGAACGATCGTAATAAAGTGCCTGTACAGAAAACTTTTTCATTTGTCGAGATACCTTCAAGAAATTTGGCAGAGATTATTACTAGCTTATAGCTACCACACAAACTGAACGGTCGGAATCAAGCGCCTGAAAAGAAAACCTTTTCATTTGACGAGGTATCTTCAAGAAATTTTGGCAGATAGTATTATCCAAGGCTTCGCTACACTCTCCGAAATAATTATTGAGATGGGACTACTATAGCATATAGCTGCCATACAACTGAGCGGTCAAACTAAAGTCCTTGTATGAAAACTTTTTTATTTTTCTTAAGGTATCTTCATGAAATTTTGAACATATTGTGCAGACCCTTATAGCTTATAGTTGCCATCCAAATTGACGGATCATAAATAACTTTTTATACCCTTTTATGCTATAAAAAAGTACCGCAGGCTCTTCCGTACTAATGCTTCAGAAATGCCGCTAGTATAAGGCAAATATACTAATTGCATGGGGCATTTAATTAGTAACTGATGTGTCACCACAGAGGATTAAACAACATTTCCATTACTTCAAATAAAAGAGCATAAGTTCACATGGGCATACTCGTAAGTGTAAATTCGTAGCTTTAAGATATTTAAAAAGAGCTAAGAAGATATACATTTATAAAGATATACACATAAAAAAATGTAAACTAGCATGTAAAACTCACCATTATCTTTGAAAAATTTACCCCACTCATCAGACGTGAGCACGGAACGTGGAGTCTCCTTTCGCAAACCGATTCTTTCGAGAGCAATTATTTTTTCTTTAAATAACAAGGGTAAGACATTAAATAAAGTAATATCTATATATATCTGTTTGGGTAATTTTTTTTTCGATTTATTTGCTTTTTTTTTGAGCGTTTACCTGTTGTCAAATCATTTGTCATCGCTGGCACAAATTGATCTTCGACTTCATTGTGTATAAATTTGAATTTGCCACGAAAGCCTTTGGCTGTCTTATTGGAACTAGCGTTGAATTCGATTAGCAAATCGGGACCGGAACTAATAATACGTCGCGTTGGCGGCGTATCGCAAATAACATCAATAACGGCATTCATATTGGCTGACTCCGAGTCGAAAATTGTAAGTTTATCCATGCTGCAGCTAAAATCGGTACAATTATGTGACAAAAGTATATATTTTTAAAAAGTAAATAGCACGATCATTTGAGAAAACATATTTCCTGTACATAATGTATTTACAAATCGAAATCAGCCTAAGGAATGCTCACTTCAAAGCACTGTAAATAAAATCTATTCGGCTTTTTGTTAATTCGTTTTACCTGTTGTCCTTTTTGGGCAGATGCAATTCTTCAAAGACTATTTCTACACGACTTTCTGGCCTGTGAATGAAAAAAGTGACAAAATTGTTTGAAGTTAAGAGTTAGTTTATAAAAATTGCTGATAGGCTAGGCGTTTGCCTTTTTCATTCTCAAATATTTACAATGCGCAATTAATTGTTTGAAAAGTATTGGCTTTAGTTTAAAAAATTTAAGTTAGAAATTCGTTGTGAAAAACTATTTAGAAAATTCGAAAACTTCTTGTCGGTTCGATTGATATCCCTCCTTTATTTCTTGTATATAATTTTTAACATTAAGCTAATAAAGCTCTTATTAATTTTCTGTAACTTTTAATTTTAGTTTAAGTAAGAAAGTTTTCTCAGAAAATTAAAAAAAAGCCGGCAGCTGAAAAACGATTTAATGTAGCTTTTTTTATTTCATGTACTTATTATTTCGTAGTAGCAGCAATAAAAAAACAGTTTTCCATCGTTTCGTGGGACTTATTTTTCTAAAAAAACTTTCCATAGTAATATATATGTATGTGTAAATTTTTTATAACATTAGAATGTAGATATTCAACGAAGATTATTCCTTTCCGATGGGTTTCATGATACTATGACTTTTTTGTTTTCCAAAATTATCTATCTTGGTGTATTATTTTGAAAAAAATGAACATTGAAACAATTGAAGCATCGAAATTAAACCTTAATTATGAAGTAAAAGCGAGGTCAAAATCCCATCAATCGCAACTTGCTTTTATATAGTATAACCTTATTATACTCCTTTCTAGAGACTCTATTTTTCTTCATCTTACCGGCCAATAAATTTGTAGGCGCATTTGATGTGCGCCGGATATTTTGCTGGAAAGCGAGGCGAATGAAAGTATTGCCAAATCTCGAAGCTCTCAGGTTTCGCATTGGGATCGGCAAAAAAGTAATAGTCACAATATGAGCCGGGTATGAGACGTCCATCATTTTGAAAATGTTCTGAAAGGATGACAAAAATGTCAAAACAACGATTAGTGTGTGTATTGTTTTAGTGAATAAAATATGAAACAAAATATTCTGGATGAAAACAATTAAATTTAGTATAATTGTGAAGAATGGATTAAACGTGGTGGTTCTAGATGAATTAAAGCTAGCTGTAGAAGTGTTTTAACTTAAGGCTTCTCTAGAGGAATATGACATTATGAGTAATAGGTTATGAAGATCTGTAATGATAATTAACTTTTAGCATAAGGCAAATTTCACTTTGCTTTTGCAAGTGAACGAGTTGAATTTAAATAAATTTTCTTATTAAGTAGGCACGCTTGGCAGAATAAATATATTTGTAATTAAAAAAGTTTTTAATATTTGGCAGGCGCTGTATTTATAATGATGCTTACCAATGTAAAAATATTTTTAAAACGAATTTTTTTCATTATTCGTTATTTGCTGCTGAGGTACCTCGTGGCGTATAAGCAACATTTTTCAAATGCAATATAACATTTTAAACTTTAAATGAGCTCTTTAATTAATTATTGACAAAAGCGTCTAGTCAGTAAGAATTGGAATCTGGAGAACAATATTAAAAAAATTGAAATTATTTTAAGCGTCTATAATAATAAATTTTAAGTAGCACAGTATTAATTTGAGCATGTAATTTATAAACCGCCTTAAATATCATTATATACATATTAATCGCAGTCTAACCATAGTGGGTTTCAAAATTTTAATTAGGAAATATTTAATTATAATTGGTTTCACCGGTGCAGCATACACCAATAACCAATCAATATATTCATTAAATATGAAAATAAAAATAATTGAAATACAAATTACCCTTCTTCAAGAATCGATATTCTCCCGTTATATTGAGCAGCCAATTTTTGAGCGCAACGCCGCCGTCAGCATCATTTCCCAGCGCTTGCTCGCGCTGCAATTGTTGTTGTTGGTTAAAACGTACGCGAATGCCGAAAATTTTGCCTGCACTATAAATAAACTCATTGCCACGTAAATCACCGACAGCGGCGGCAACCGAATTATTGGCAGCAATAACCGTTAAATGAGCGTGGTTGGCAACGCTACTCGCAGCCGGCACTAGCTGCTTGCTAGCTGACATCGCCAGCGACATTGTGTTGGCGTTAACGGACGATGTCGCTTTCTGCTTGATTTCAGCCGTTGTGGGTGGCGACATGGTATTTGTTGCTGCAACACTACGATTGGATGCTAACGTCGTGGCAGCCGTTACAGATGCTAATGCTGACACACTGGACGATGTGACAGCGGTACGATTGCATATAACATAATCCGGATTAGTCGAGTACTCAATGACGGGCTCCCGCAGGAACGGAAATATTTCAATGTACTCCGAACAGCTGAAAATGTAACGGAAGTGCGCCAAAAGCGAACAGAAACAAAGCGTTGCAGCAAGAAAGCAGTATGCAAGGCAAAAGTAGCAAAAGCGGCAATGGCAATAATTGTAGCGTGAAGCAAGCGACGAACGCAGCCAGCCAGCAGCAGAGACATCGAACGAGCAGCGTGGGGCAGCGGCGGGCATTGGTGGCGATGGCGGTGAACGTGCAAATGCATGAAATGAAATTGAGTTTGAGAATTTATTAGTCATTGGTGGAATTGGTCATGCGAGGCGTATGCAGCGTGCAATGTAAGCAGAGCGGTTAAAAATAAAAATGCCAACCGTTTAAACGCTTACAGCGCATTTGAGTCTGCGTGTCTTCGCACACACCACTTTTGATTTATTGTATTTTCAAACAGAAAAATTCGAGTTATCAGAGAAAAAAGTATTTGTGCGCAATAAAAATGTCACTTTACATGGTATTCACAATAAAATATCGGACACCACACACGCAAACACACACACACACACACATGTGTACATATGTATGTGCTTAGGAGCGTTATGTTTGTGGATATGTGGTTGTGGGCATGGAGGCCTTGGCTGAGCTAGCAAACTGCAATAAATATTGTTATAGCTGCATGTATGTGTATGTGTGTGTTTTATTCTTCTCCTGCTCGTGGCTTTCCCTTTCGCAAGCCACACAGGATGCGACAGAAGGCTGGATAGTCAATCATAGCTGGCTCCTCGAGAGTTTTGGCTTTGGCGATCGGTGCATACTTCAGCGCTTCATCGGCCTCTGCGGTCGTCATGACATCGCCATAATTGGTTAGCTCCTCATATATTCTGCAATTCAATGAAAATTTGCAATTAGCAAAAAAAAAAAAAAAATACTTCAGCAGTTCAAAATAGTCAAGAGTAGCACAGAAAATAGTTAGAGCAGATAAACGAATCGTCATACAGTTTTGACTAAATGCATTTCTCTCATTATTTTAAATATATTTAATTATGAGAGGTATTTTACTTTAGTTAAAAAAAAATCTGCCAGTAGATAATATGGTCAGTGTTAGCAATATGAAATTATTTGTCATAAGAAGCATTTTATCAGCCGTATTCGATTCGTCAGTACTTGGAGAGTGACGAATCCAACAAGCAACATAGCAAGCCGTTATGGCCCTTTAATGAGGCATACAAAAATAATAATCGAATTAGGGTTTTCAACAATTTTTTCAATTATTTTTTTCGTACTGTGTTTGGCAGAAATATTTGTATTGTAGGTAGAGTAGCTCGTGACGTCAGCAAAGTAGGAAGAGTTCGTTTACAATTGGTATGAAAATCAGACAGCTCATTTCGTTTAAAATCTAATCTATCAATAAAATATCGACGAATGCAAGATGTTTATGGGAAAATGTTGTCAAGTGATGCAGCTAAATTTTTAAAATATTTATATTTTTCGAGAAATTGAGACTGATAAGTTCCTTGGCATCTTTGAATGACTGATTGATTTAAAGATAAGCATCGATACGCTGAAAGGGCACTTGAAGTATTGACAGTATCTCATCCAGATGAGAAGAGTATGCATTTCTACAAAATAATGTTTATAATTTTAAACTCTTCTTCTACAGCGATTTGAACCCACATTAGATTAAAGTCAAGTTTGCCGCGGCCTTAACTTTTGAACAAGAAACGAACTTTAACTTTTACAATTCACAATTTTATAAAGTGAAGTGTTTTTAAAACTTTCTTGTTATAGATTTACCAAACATATAGCAAGTAAAAAATAATAAGTATACATTTTCGATATAAATTAGGGCTTAACATACTTACTTCTTCTCCTCAATTTTTCCCGTACCATAATCGTCCCACTTGCTCCAAGCTTCCAACAGCACATCCTCTGGATCCAACTCAACCGTGCGATGACTCATTAATTCTATGAAAGCCTCATAATCCAAAGGATCCTTTGCCTGTGTGGAAATTCGCACTTTTACACATCAGTTGTATATATATATAGATTAATAATATATATTTAGACCACTTATCACTTTCAAACTCTAATTACACACTTTTATTTTATTCACATTTCACAGAAGAAGCTTGTTCTTGTTGTTTTATTTTTCAAGTATGCAATCACGAATCATGGCACATTTTTATTAATCACCTCCTTAAGCATTTCCTCGAGCAACTCATCCGGTGTGTCTGTGCCGAGTGCGGTGAAGGTGAAGCGCAAATCATCCTTCGAAATCAAGCCGTCGCTGTCCAAGTCGAGCAGCAAAAATACCTATTAACACCAAATATATTATATCATTTGCACAATACTCGCACATTTTCCATTCTTTTTCTACTTCTTTCAATTCAGCCAGCTTGCGTATATCCAGATCCTTCATCGCTTCCTGGTCACCAGCAGACACTTCGTCGGGGGCGCGATAGTTACCTTTGGTAATGGGTTTCTTATAAGTCGGGTTGAATATTTCATTAATGGCAGCCATTGCTTCCGATTCGACTTTTGGTGGACTTGGCGGACGCACGATGGAAGCCTTTCGGGCAGCACTGGTGCGACGACGTCGCTAAACGTACCAAAAATTGAAAATCAAATGAAAACTGTCGCAATTTTATGGCGCTGCATTCGCTTCGTACCTGCTCCATTTCATCGACGGAAAATGTAATAGGATCAGACATTTCGCAGATACACTTTTTAGATGTGTGAGTATTTCAAAAATAATTAACTATAATTTTATTTATTTAACAATATACATTTATCCTTCCCAGCCTTGTAAAGGATGTACACAATCTTATATTGTCTAACACTCGCGACGCCTAGATTAGGACCTAAGTACCCTCGAACGTTCGTGCAACCGCTTTGCTAATCGTTAACTGAAAATCCGTTTGCCGTTTTAGTTCGAACTTATTGACAAATTGAAAGAGAATTATTTATTTATTACAAATAATTTTTGTGTGCTTGAAAAAAAGTCCAAGATCTTCTTTGACGAACGCACTTGCTGCAGCACAAAGCGTCGCGATTTCTTTCAATGTTCGTTCTTGTATTTTTAGCCCGATTTCCGCCAAGTTTTTCACTATGGTTCTTCTCCACAGCAAGTCAATTTTGTATTACAACCCCGCTGCTAATGGTCGATTTCTAATAGCTAATGACCATCCACTACCTGCTCGCTTGATTTTGTCGCGTCGACGCAATTGAAATTGCGAAAATGTCACTGCAATGTCCGCCTGCACGAACCTGCATCTCATAGAAAATGCATATATCACCTATAAATGCACATATGTAATTGTATTTGTGGGTATGTATAGCTTCGAAATTGCCTATATTAGATAAATTGGTCGCAGTATCGGTGAGGGCGGTGCTTTGGTAGCGCAATTGTAATATTTTCGACTTGTTGCTATTTTATGAAGTTATTAAAAAAAAGTGCTTAAGTGGCTTCCAAAGTAACTTTTGTCAAAAGAAACAGCAATTCAAGATCGTTAGCTAAAATTACGAATAATATGTATTGTTAAAAATTGCATGTATTATGAAGAATGCCAGCTATTGAATAACCTCTGAGCAATAATATCTTGCTGACCTTGTAACATCATGTGGAAGGTCACCATTACTGAGTAATTAGATAAATGCATTTTTTAATTATTATTTGTCTTCAGAAGCATTAAAAATACAGGTGTTCTACATTGAATTATTTTAAACAGAGTTTTTAAATAATTATTGTTAATTGTAATGTTTATCAATAGTATTATTATTTTTAGAAATTATTTTAAGCATTACTTTTCATTATTTTTACTTTGCAATTATGCTTTGAATCACAAAGTAATCACATCTAAAAACATTAATTATATGGCCAAAAGCAGTACGTAAAAGTCAACAGTAATCAAAAGTAATCAAATAGTAATTAAATGAATTTTATGATTAATTTCACTATTGGTAATAATAATTATAGTTTTTTGGTTATTTACAATTTACACCAATTTCATGAAATATAAAAACAGAAATGAAATTATCATGTCATTATGTTTACATGATTCATGTAATCTAATATATTACAAATTGTACAATAATTTAAATTTAACAGTTATGCTTTGAAAATATTGCTAGAAGTACAGTTAAGCTAATTTAAGTACCAACCATTGACATATGAAAAGATTTCCACTTAGTCTACGACAATTCCCTGGCGAAACTCCATTTTTGTGTGACATTTTCATGCTTTAAAAGAGCTCAAGGCCTTTATAGATAATTGAATTTCGTAAAATAAACTCTACTTGTTGATTAAGGTAACGCTCAAGCAGTGTACACCGCACCAGTGACTGTTTGATGGCCTCCCACAGCTGTGGCACACGCTTGTCCAATAAATTCATTTCCACAAAATTTTCGCAAACATTGATATTGACAGATTGATTTATGCCAATGATGTGTGACAAAAACACAACTCTTTATGTTTGAATGAAAACGGATTAAATTTAGAAAGAAAATTCAACGAGCAGAGTCCCATTTAGCCACACTTATTTATGTGCACTTTATTATGGAATAGTGGCAGCAAGTAGTGTCTATGTCGAGTACTGCGAAATTAATGTAGGAAATAAGAGCAGTCGCAAACAACCAAAATGTCTGCGCCATCTTCGACTTTTTGCTGCTTGCCACCCACCCGCCAACTATTGAAAGGCCGCAAGGCGCATTGACAATTTGCAACATTGCGTTAATTTAAATGTTGCATGTAGCAATATACTATGTATGACCAAGTGCTGTACAATGCCGCGCGCGACAACCTTGTTGCCTCGCTCGCCATTGGGCAAGCCCATGCATAAGGCATGCAACGCTACCTTGACGCACAAAGTTGCACTGCCACATTTGGTTATCGTTTTGTGGCTTCGTTCGTTGTTAATGCCAAAAAATTTTCTGTTTACATTAATAATTCCGATAAATACTCAACGATAGTATACATATCAATACACTTAGATTTTTTTATTTGTCACTTTTTGTGCGTGGAATTTTCACAGGAATGTTCAAATTTTTGAATTTTCTTCTCAGCTTTCGGGTAGGCATTTATTATTCGCATGAATTTATGTAGACACATACACATATGTAATTTATTTAATTGGCAGATGTTGGATTTTGCGTTGCATTTAATTTGAGGCATGACATATAACGGGTGCTTGTAGAATTCTCATTGGTCAGGTAGAAAAATTGTTATTGAATAGAAATTTTAATTTTAACTCAAAAGGTAGGCTTTAAGTCTTTCTACAAAGAGGTCTCCAGGTTGGAGTTTTTGAGTTTTTTAGTACATGTCATATATTTGAGTAACAAAATTTTGTAAAATGTATAAAATCTGTTTTAAAGATTGGGAGCTCGCAATTTATGTTTTTTTCGGTTTTATAGATCTTGCAGATGTTAAATATAAAATCCTTATTGGAGTACCTCTCAAAAACTTTCTATGAAATGCTTCTTTCTACTTGGAGCTCTGTTTGTCTAACCTTGAAATTCGGTGTGCATCGAATGACACTTCCAAGCTCTATTACGACGGCTCTGTTGAGATCTCAATCCATAAAATAATTTGAAAATAGTTGGTTATCCAGCTAATAGGTTCAGCTGTCACTAAATGGAAATAAACTGCTGCCTGTCTATTCCTTGGTAAAGGCTCTTAAAATTATAAGATTACGGAGCTTTGTTATAGAAAACATGCCATAACCCTCACTCACTTACTTCAGTACTTTATTCGATTGGAATTTTAAGTAACTTTCAAATGAATTCAACCTTCTCAGTTCTCATTTACTTGTATAAGAAACGAAAATTTGCAGCCTTCAAACATATTCTTTTCGGTTAATAAATAGTCACGTCGACTGCGTGGATTCGGATTTTATGCCCTCAAAGGCCTACTCAGGTAATTCACCAATGGTTTGAAGTTCATCCTTGCATTTGGTAGAATATTGAAGGTCACAACTCAAATATATGTACTTGTATATATCTTGAATGTTATGTCTAAAAAATAAAAAGAGTCTGCTAACAAATTTGAAATTTTGTTCAGATTTCTAACAGGGATTTACGGCAGGAAAAACACTATTTATTGACTAACCACCTTGCTGATGACAACATTCAAGCGGAACTCACTCACTTTCGTCACGTATGAAAATCTTCCGAGTAAATACGAAAACACATGTTGCACACATCACAATTTCACCTGCTGCACGACATGGACAAACAAATTTAGATTGCTTTCGGCATTTCGTATTTCCGTCAACAAAATTTCGTAAGCAAAATATAGCGCGGTTCAACATTGTACTTGTTGGAAGTAAATGTGAGTATTTTGGTTTGCCAAACCAAATGTGTAACGTTCTACCTACTTAATTATTTGACATTCAAAGAACTTGACAGCTTCTGCGTTGCATGTGGGCGCACATACGCACTAGACTTACCCGGCGGCCAGCTGCAGCGTCTGGAAGCGCAGGGCGACCAACTCATCGTTGCCACCCACGATGAAGATTAAGTAACAATCTTTCTTGGCGCCACGCAAAGTGTTTCCGTTAATGGCGATGTTGCCCCAACTGGTTGCATTGCGCTCGGTGGCATACATGCACGAGCACTCTGCGTTAAGTAGCAGTTAACAATGAAAAAAAAGAAGAGATATCATTGTGGAGCGTGTTAATTAATGTTATTGCTTCGTGAGCCAATTAAAGGGTCACGCTGCGTCACACCAACCTAACCACAATTCTTTTTGCAACAAAGCTGCAACCCCCTCACAAATGTGCACGCAAAGTAGAGCCAACAGCAATGCGTGGAACACAAATCTCCCAGTCGTTGTAGGCGACATCCCGCACAGCTTGCGAAAGGTCACGTACGCAGCAATGCAATGCAGCCAACAACAATGTGGTGTTCAAGTACGCGTTCGCACGACACTCGTACACTGCGTTAGTCACGTGTTTAGCTCTAACCGGTTACGTGCCGCGATAGCGAAAGAAAGCGCAGGTTGTTGCGCCTGTGGCAAGCGTGCATACGAACTGACTTGTGAACTTTTGTTATTGCGTAGCGAAAAGCGCGCGAAAGGTGGACCACACGTGCTAATAGCCGAGAGGAGACTGCGAGTATGGCCAACTGAAGTCCAACGCCGATGCTGCGATATGAAGCCGTTGTCGAAGTGGCTTGCGGCATGAGCGGAAAAATTTCCATGGTCCATTTCTACGAGTATTCTATTCTTATCCCGTTGACAGCTTTCATGGCAACTTCGGTTTCTGCTTCAGCGACGCCAATAGCCGAGAAACAGTTTAAAGCTAGTGATGGTAGTACCTCATGTTTTGTGGGTGGGCATTGACTGTTGGGTGTGCGGTTTTATCGTTTGCCCAAAACGGAAACGACAACTCTGCCGTCTGTCTACCACTGCTGTCCATTGACCAGACAACTTGTGGCAGTTTTACATGCAGGTATATACATGTTGCATGTGCCACATGTGAGCAGTGTGTCTGTTATCAATGTAGTAAAATGGGGAGGAACGGGTGGTTTATTAAAAATAGCCCCACTTCGTGGTGTTACTTTTAAACAAACCTAAATGTGTTGTGGAAATTACCTACTTATATATGTTTACAGTGTTGCTGCTGATGCTTGTAACCTAATTCAGTTTTTTATTAGAGGAAAAAATGAAGGAATATCTTCTGTATCACCAACAATCACAAAAACAATTAAGTTGCCACAGTAAGTGACACGTTAATAAGATGATACAACAATACAAACACACTTACATATATGTTTATTATATATGGTATATATAGTTACATATAATTACACTAGCGGTCACAAAACTAACTGCGATATTGGCTGCATCAATTCAATATTATCAGTACTAACACTCTCTCTCATTTGCTGTAGGTTGAGTACATTGCTGTACCGCTGACTCGCTCTCACTGACTTTGACAATATCAGCTGTTTTGCTGGCGTCACAATTTGGAATTCCTTATAGTTTAGTTCTGTCAGAGATTTTTTTTTGCGTTATGGACTGACAAGAGACGATACTATATCACCCAATAATATTTAACTATTTTCATTAAAGTCTCTAGTAGAATATGACCAAGATTCTACTGCTATTATTATCCAAAAAATGGTTGAACCTTGATATTTTTATTGTGTCTTCGAAAGGGTGATGAATTGTATGAGCAGTTTTTAAGTAACGTCTATCAGAAAAAACATGTTTGGTTATCGGACATTAGGAGCATCCCATACTTCATTCATACTGGACACTAAGAAAACTTGCACTAGTATTAATATACTTTACTAAATACGTAATACTAACTAAGCTGAAAAACTTTAGTACTATTATTTTAAATATATATTTATCAAGTCATTAATTACCCAAAGAGTCTCTAAGACATCGGACATAAATCGAAAAACTGGGAAAGAAGTTTGAAGTGAGGTTAGAGCTAGTTTTATAAAGAATCATCTACATTTTAGTTTGAGGATCTTTTCATATCATGATAGCCTAAAAATAGTCGATATTTTGGAAGAGAATACCAAACCTTTTTCGAATAACATAGGTTTTCCGACGGCTCTAAGAAAAAAAGGTGCGCCATTGCAGCCGTGCTTCCGAACTTCTCCGTGGATGAAATTTAAAAATAAAATTCTCTCTAGAAGATATTGTCCGTACAATGACATCGATCGAAAGAAACCAAAAATTTACAAAATGGCGGCGTTTAAAAAAATGTTATACCTTATCCAAAATGTTGGTAGTTTTTTAGCCCGATTTTTGATCAGATCAAAAAACTGGTAGGTCATTGTTAGAAGAACTTGCAAAAAGAATTAGATAGTGATCGGATCATTTATCTCCGAGTAATTACTGCAGCAAATTTAAAACAAAAAATATGGAACTAGTCGCTTTACACTTTAGAAGCCTTTAACTAAAACAATATTTGAAATATTCATTTTCTAATTAGTTCTAACATTTTACAATTATTCAATCTGCAATTTAACCCTAATTACCATATATTCGTTCGATACTTATTAATACCTAATAGAATATTATAGAGAGTAACTTGCTTTGAAGAACCGGTAATGTATACATACAATAAATGTATCATATAAAATATTAAATTTTTTGCTAACTTATTTACTATTTTCAGCGCCTTCAGCTGAAAAACTGGAAAATCAATTGTAGTGTGTATTTTTAGAATGATTTTGATACTATTACTCACACATACACAAACATATTTGGCTGTTTGTGTTTCCGGTTGCCCCGTCCCGAGACGACACAAACACATCGAGGGTGGGTGCCACCCTTTGTAAACCAGTTAAATTTATTTTTAGCCGTGGGCTGTGGGCGTAATTTTTCGGAAACACCTACATTTACTGAGATGCTTTCACATTTAGATTAAGCGTCAATTTAATTTCTACTAAAAACGCAATAAAAATTTCATAGAAAGCGGTTACTTAACTTGTGTCACCCGAGGCGGGTAAATATTGGTGGTTTTTGCTGAAAATGATTTGGTTTAAATTTGCTGACTTAAACTCACCATACGAGTCTCGCCGTCGATTTGTACTTGTATATGAATGTATGTGTGTATCTATGTATGTATGTCTTGTTTTTCATGGTCAACCTTTGTTTCAATAAGGACTCAGGCGGAATGATTTTGCTTTGTGCTATTTACTACAAGGGTGTCATTTATTTTTACTAAGAATTTCAAAATTCAAAACAAACTACTACATTAGAACTACAACAACCAATAGAAATGGGGAATATTTTTGCTTTCATAGTAATGAAAAATGTTGTTGCTTTTATTAAAGAACCTTTGTGGAAATATTGAAGTTGTAAATCCACTTGCAAAAATTTCCTTAATTTCTCTATTATTATCATAAATTAGTTTCAAAACATTTTGTTACTTCGGAAACAAAAAAAATACCCCATTTTTCACATTAGTTGACAATGACTAAATATTTTAATCAACATTCAAGTTATGGGATCTCTGTTTTTGCTCGAAACATATCTCCCAATGTAATTGCTTTGCTGCCATTTAGTTCCTAGTTAAGAAAAGTATTAAGGCTTAATAAAGTATCATGTAAAAAGTTTTCTGATTTTACCTCATAGTCGTACGGTGCCATGTAGTCCTTGCAGCGTCGCAACCAATGTTTGACACGATTATAGGAGTCCACCTCGAAACCAAAAGCTTCACATTGCGAAACGGTAACTAACAAGGTGAGATCGGCAATCGTAAAGTGATCTAGTGCAGCGAATTCGTGACCCTTCAAAGAGGTATTGAACCAATCGAAAGCTTCGGCTAAACGAGGTTTCTTCGATTCATCCACAGGAGCGCTCCAGAGTACAGTTGGTAACTGAAAATTTGCAAAATTTCAAAAAAAAAAGGTTAACTTCAGTTGCCACGAAGCTTCTAAACAAGAACTTGATTTTGATCGTTCAGTTCATAAGGAAGCTATATGCTATAGTGGTCGGATATCGACGGTTTTCGATAAATGAGCAGCTTCTTGGGGAGAAAATCAAGTGCCCAATTGAAATCTCAAAAACTTAGCAACTAAATTACAGACAGACGAACATGACAAAATCAATTCAGCTTGTCACGCTGATCATTTATATATATTTTTTATAAGATATTCGATGTTTCCTTCTGAGTGTTAGTAACTTCGTGGCAAACTTAATAACCCTGTTCAGTGTATAATTAACGGCGCGCTATCTTCAAAACTTTAAGCTCCATTAATTCTTAAATACTGACTCATATGTAATATAAATTAATCAAAAGCAGTTCGCATATAACTGACTTAATACCATTGTACTTGCCCAATATGCTAGGAGTATACTCACATAGCAGTCGTACATCCGCGCATACAAGGTGCCCAAATCAAATTGAATTCGCTGATCGACCAAAGCACGAGAACGAACATCTGTCGGATAGAGAGAATCGTCTTTTCCATAAGCTGCGGCCATGTATTGTAAGATCGCACGACTAAAAAGTAAAAAGTAATAGCAATCATAGCATAATTTATTTAGCACACTCTTGTATGTAGTTTATTAGCCTCACCTCTCCCACAACACCAGACCTTCATCATTGATCGTTGGAATGCAGTGTTGGGGATTTAGCTGCAAAAATTCGGGTTTCAACTGATCACCGGCCAAGACATTGACGATCTTCAAATCGAAATCGATGCCCAGCATTTTGCCCAACAATAAAACGGCGCGACATGGTGGACTCGGCGGTAGATAATAGAGTGTCACAGACATCTTGGCGCCACCTCTGCTCAAAACACAATAAACAAATTCTTTAACAATATGCGCTGTCTCGTCGAGCATTGTGCGAATGAAGTGAAGGAATTCAAAATGTGTTCCTTCGCAATAATAAAAATAGACTCCTCATTGTCAATTGTTGCAAACTGCTGTTGTTGTGCCGAGCAACTAAATGTTAGGTGAGCGTCTTGTGGCTATTGCAGCCAATGCGAGGACAAAGGCGTATCAATTATTAATAACAACAACACAATTGGTCAATAATTATAACTGCAATCGATTTGAATGAAATTCATAATTAAACGGCATTTCGAGCAGCACTTAACTGCACTTTTTCCCGCAGAGTTAGCATATGTGAAGGCGTGTCTACATGTTAATGTGTGTGGTATGTGATCCAAGCATTAAAAGATAATCAGAACAAATACAAGGTTCGTGTGTGTGTCTTTGTGTGAAAGTGTGTAGTTGGTATTCAATTGACGTTTCTGCACAAAATGTCATTAAAACAATTAAAAGTTCGTTCAAGGCACATCCGTAACGCTGTCGAGTTCACTCAAAGATTTGCATTGCAAAACCAAGCGAGAATAAACACTCCATAAAAAGTATAACTTTCACCTCACGCACGAAAGCCTAGCTCCACGATTACGAATAAAAATATTAACCATTGACTTTTTACTGATTCCCTCTTCAGAGAATAGCAAAGTTAGGCTAGGAAAATGTATTCGAATCCTTCCGAAATGCTCATGTATTCCACTCACCTCAATTGTTGCACAATATTGTGTGGCACAACGGCGACCGTATCGATACAATTACCCAGCGTGAAGTGTGCAACCTCGACACGTCGACTACACGCGTCCTTTTAGTGTGATTGTTCTTTATGTTTGAGTGGGTTTGGCGCTTTTTCGGCTCTATAACTATTTTGATGGCAGTTAGGTTCAGTAATTGGTCTTCTGAACCGTCTATTACTGTAAATTTCTTCAACAACAAATGACATAATTACTGCCGGTTGTGTTCTTTCTCAACGGCAGTCACAGTTTAGACGTCGGCTAGAGGGGCTTTTAGTTGGCGAAACGATTTGTTAACCTATTTCCGTTTCGCTTTGGACAAGCGTTGCTTGGCGACCTTGTCGTCAATGTGAACTTGTTTACTGGCTTCACAGACTCGAAGGCAGAATGCCTTGGATTCCATATTTATTAACTTAATATGTACATAGTTAGTATAATTTATATATATAATATATATTTATTTATTATTTATTAAAACCTCTTTAGTTTACAAAGCCATACTGAAATTATCTTATGTATGTTTGTGTGTGTATGAGAACTTGACCTTTTGTATCACCTGACTTTTGGGAACTTACCAGAATGCCACATGTCTTTCAGCAGGCTGTTATCTAATTTCCTATTATACATTATTATACCCTGAACAGGGAATATTAACTTTGCAATGAAGTTTGTAACAGCCAGAAGGTTGAGTCGAAGACATCAGTCGATTTAGCTATGTACGTCTGTCTGTCTATATATACGCGAACTATTCCCTCAATTTTTGAGATATTCATCTGAAATTTCGCAAACGCCTTTTCTTTCCCAAGAATTTGCTTATTGATCGGGCTACTGTAGCATCTAGCTGACATACTAACTGATCGATCAAGTCTTTGTATGGAAAAATTTATGAAAGGTATTAAAGTTTCAGTGCAACCGAAGTTAACGTTTTTTGTTTTTCAGCTAATTTTATATTTTTAATTTTAGTTTTATGAATGAACCGACCGATATTAGTAATGGTCTACAACATATCTTTCAACTTTCTTTTGAAGACACATTTTTATACGAAAAATTTATTGTGCAAAATCCTCTCTCTCATTTCAAAGGAAAATTGGTTACATTACTCCACGGGATGACTTGGTATTTAATCTAAGCTTTTGTTATAAAATCAATCAAATAAATTTGCTTAAAAGTATCATTTTTCATTTTCATAATTTATTAAAGTAAAAAAACTCGGGAAAAGCTATATAAAGTTTAGTATATTTTTTATTTCTATTTAATAAATAAAGTTTCACATTTGGCAGCTTAGGTACTGTAGTTAAGTATTTATATTTATCTTCTTCTTTCTCTTTCTTCTTTCCGTTATTTCTTTTTTTTTCTTCATTTCATTCTCTTCGTTCATTTCACTATCTTCCGTCATTTCATTCTCTTCCATCATTTCAATCTCTTGCTTTATTTCTTTATTTACCTTTATTTTTTTCTCTTCCTTCTTTTTTTTCTCCTCCTTCTTTTTTTTCAATTCCTTAGTTTCTTTCAATTTCTTTATTTCTTCATTTTCCTTAATTTCTTTCTCTTCTTCTAAAAGTGTGGTTGAGACTGTAAAACTGTAATAAATTCCAGCCCTAGGCAGTGCTTCAGCTTCAGACCATTTATTCTTTTTCGTATCGTAAACTGTCACAGCACTTTTATAACACGTTTGGGAGCTGCCACCAATGGCCCAAAGCTGTTTGTCTATAAAAGAGCAACCTAAGCCCCAACGACCATTAAACAGAGAGCAAACCTGTAAATTATCGTAATGATTGAGATGCTATCGTTGAAAATTTCGATTTAAGAAAATTATGTAATTTACCTTAATCCATTTGTCGGTCTGAACGTCGTAGAGTTCTACGATCGCATTTGGGCTCTGGGTGCAACCACCTATTACATAAATGTGTCGATTGTGTACGGCCACCTATAACATGAAGAGATAATGGATGAGTTAGCAACGCAAATAAAAAAATGTGGAAAACGGTTGGCCTCAAGGGCCATTCCTGCAACTTCCCGCTAATTTCATACGTTAACGTTCAAATTTCGCTTTTTTCACTGTTTAATGGGAGTTTAATATAACACTATTTCCCAAATTTCCCAATCAATTTCAGAAATTTGAAAAAAAAAACGATTTTAAATTTTTATTTTTGAGATTTATCGAAATCTACTGGTCCGATTGGGTCCAAACTTACACAAAATTCACTTGCAAACCCATTTGGAATGCCGTTTAGTTTATTCAAATCGGTTGAGTCGTTTAAAAGATAATATATAAGAGGTTTACATACATCCACACACACACACATAAATCCACACATACATACAGACATACGGACATCATCGTAGAAATGTTCGGGAAGCTTCCTCGACCCTCAGAACGTCGAGATCTGTTGAGAACTCGATTTTTGCAAAATGGGGTGAAACCAATAACTTCCCGATTTTTAGAAAATTTTCAATTTTCTTAGCGGGAAGTTAAAAATTTCAGTTTCTCTCTCAACTTACACCAGGCATATAGTGCTCGCTAAGCAAAGGTGCGCATGCGGTCCATTTATCCGTAATAGGATCGTAGCGTTCAACAGATTGTACTTGTAAATCGCATCCATCGTGGCCCCCAATTAGGAAAATTTTGCCATTTAAAGTTACCGCACGGGCGCCATAACGTGGCGTAATCAGTTCACATACTTCCTTCCAACCGTTTCTTTTCGTATATCTAAAATAAATAAAAAAACTCTTTGATATTTACTTATTTTCGAGGCAAAAATTTCAAACCAATAATGTTCGAAAATTGTATGCCGAAACTACAAAAAAAGCAATATAATTACACTTGTACTCACACTTCCACCGATTGTGATACTTTGTCAACATTCGTCCGTCCACCCATCACATAGATCTTACCATCCAATTCTGTAACACTTGACCAGTATCGGGCTTTATTCAAGTCGGGCAAACGTTCCCATGTTTTCGTTTTCAAATTCCAGCTATTTACGTCTTTTATCGCTTCGTAATCTATTTTACCTCCAATAAAAAACAAAGTATCGTCCACAAGAATTACTTCAAAATTAATAGCGTTTATCAGTATTTTATCCCATAGCACCCAGGTATCTTTTTTCTTGTTAAACCGAAATATGTAACCCTGGTTTGTGTCCGCGCACTGTAAGAAATTAAATTATTAAAATAAAATTACTTATATACATATATTATTTACGAAAATCCGTTCCGAAAATTGGGTTATAGCGAAATGTTATACATTAATTTTGTAGGGTTATCTTAATTCTGAACAATTCGAATTCAACCATTTTATTGAAAAATTTACGAAATTTTGATCCCTCGCACAACTTATGCCACTCCGTGCAGTTCGAATCTTACTACAGTATCAGCAGAAGCAGAAGTTTCCCTACAGCAATGCCACAAAAACTCTTTTCTGTCAAAATTAGTAATATTTACTGTTACTTACGTCTGTTTGTATGGCCATCAACTCTTTTGTTCTCCAATTACCACTCAGCCCTTCGCGAGGTTCAGTATATTTTAAGGATATTTTTTTACGAGCCGAAGTTTCAGATATCCACGACAAAGCCTTATATGCCAATAACTCGCAACCCGGCAAAGCTTGAATACGTGTCAACAAAATATCCACATCGAAACTAGTAAGACGTAAGCAGGCCACTAAATCTGGCAGAGGTCTTCTGCGATCACCCACGTTATGCTGAAACCAACGCTCAATTGATTCAAGCACATCCTCTTCACAGTTCACATTCAAATTATTACTTTCTACAAGCGCTTGCAATCTTTTGGCGCTAAACGTTACAAAAATGGGGTCTCGACATATCTGTGGGAAATAAAATAAATCAAATTAGTATGGGTTATAGTTTTAAAAATTTGTTTCCAAATGTATATATTTTTATGGAAGATTTTGAAATCTGCTATAATTATACCTTTTTGAAATTATTTATTTCATATTCCAGTATTTTCTTAGATAGTTGATAGCATTGAGTTTCATGCTCCAAGTCATATAACCGCTTTATTGTAAATACTGATATGTTCTCCAAAAGGAAATCAACACAAATCTCAACCACATCATCCAACTTTAATGTCATGGCACCTTTTAGCATTTTTTCCGCATTGTTCGCGGTTATTAGTGCTGTGCCCGTATAGCAAAATGCTACCAGCCGCTCAAAGATATCGCTATCAATATTATTTATCTCGATAACAGGATTAATGCTTTGTTCAGTTATTAAGAGAGTGCTAAAGTATGGACTTGCCGCTGACATTATCAAGCGGTGCGCAGGAACTCTAAGGAAATTCAAATCAAATTACGATTAATACATATATTTATTATTAGGAAAACTTATTTATGCACATGTATTTAATGGAACTTACAAAAGAGGTGGATTGGCCAATTTGAATGTTACATCGATAAGATTTTGATTGTCATAGCACTGCCAAACGTTGTAGATCAATTTTGTTATGTGGTAAATGGTTTTGTTGGATTCCATTGCTCGAAGTGTCTGAGAACCACCGTTTAAAACTTCTGTTTTTGTCTCTTCTGGATTATCGGTTCTTTTTTTCACCGAGCTAAACAGGAACTGGAAAAAAACAATTAAAATGGGTTCATTGTAACGATACAACTATAAAATTAAGATCTGCTGTTAAAAATAATAATAAATGTTTAAAATGTGTATGCATTTCCGCTTTTAGGAGGGCAAAAGTGAAGCCATAGAAAATTGTCTTTCGACAAATTTCGCTTTTCTGTTCAAATATTAATTGTTTTGAAAACTTTAAAATATTATAGAAACAGTGGAAACGCGCTAGACTGTCCTGTGAATAATTTCCTTGCGGCGTTACAAACAACTTTTCGAAAGTAAACTTTCACTGCTGCAACTAACTTTACATGCAACTTGCAACTGCCACTGCAACCACTTTACGAAATTCCGCATTTCAACAAGCAGTTTACATGCCATGAGAGCCTCTGTATATATACGATGTATTGTATGTTGCTAGCAAATACTCTCGGACAACAAACAAATTAGTGTTGGTTCAAATAAGGATACTTTTGTTGCCAAAACTCGTAGATTAAAGGCGAGAGAACGTGGAAGAGAGACGAAGGGTCGTTCGTGCTCGGGCAACACGTTTTGTGTTCTTGTTCGTAATATTTCATTGTTACGCAATTTAGTATTTCCTCTCATTTTGAAACTCGTTCTCAAATTTATACTCTACAATACGTTTGAAAATTTAAATTTTATCACCTACATACTTTTGGTATGTAATATGTAAATAGGTATACACATTTTTTAGAAAACGGTGAATTAGGTTAAATATTAGTTAATGAAAACATACATATGTGTACGGCGAAATGATGTGTACAGTGCGATTATTTAAAAATATGATATGAAAGAAACCACAGAAAATTGACGGAGTTGACGGACTTGAAACGCTCGTGTGAACACAATGGACAACACCAAGAGATAAGCTAGAGATAATAGCAACAAAAGTTTCAACGTCTGAATTCGGACTTAGTGTGATGTCACTGTAACAAGGCTCTCTGAGAGGATTGAAAATAAAAGCACAAATTCCATTTTTGTAAACAAAACTGAAAAATCAAGTACTGAGAACAACTGTACAAACATACACCATGACAACAAAGAACAGCTGATATTCTTATATTCACGAAGCACCAACACAACACGTTCAATACCTGTATTCTCGCAACCGCATCATAAAACTGCACTTTTATCAATAAGCGGTGTATCCTAATGATAGAAATAAAAGTTTCTAACCTCGAAATAACGCTTTTAATAGAGTTTTACAAACACGTGAAAAACATGTGAAAACTTCACTCAATTTAGCTAGGAATTAAGAAAATGAACAATTCTTTAGAAAAATTTATCTAATGGTAGTGTTCTAGTAAAGTTCTGAAAAATTTTATCAATATTATAACTTTGTTTGTATACATATATAGAACGTCATTTTGTAAAGAATTATTTTCGTTTATTCGCTGTCAGATCCACATGTTATTTTGTTAACAGTTTTATTAAGAGTAGCAGGTATAAACTATTTTTTATACAATTTCTGTTCATCGAATTTTGAAATGTAAGCAAATTAAACAGTTCTCTGAAACAAATTAACAGCACAAACGGAACCACGCAAGATTTTCTCAGCACTTTTCTAAATTTTAAGCAAAGATTCGTCAACAAATGCCGGCAGCACTTAGGTACGCGATCCCCGAGTTTGGATTATTTCTCTTACCAGTTTTTGATTAATTAATTTTTTTTTGACCATTTTTCAAACTTAACTAATTTTTAAATTATAACACAATAATTTAACTATAAATAATGAAAGATGATTTTCTGTACCGGTTTTTGAGGGATGTTGTGTTGTAAGAAGGTAAGACTTTTGCACTTAGACATATCTATATGTTTGTATATACAACAAATCAAAACTGACACTGCAAGACAAAAGCACAACTTAACACGTTTAATTTATGGCAAATACTGAGCGGTTGCACGTTGCAATGTCACTTATCGAATGCACTTAAGTCGGTCGCACTGCTGGGTTGCCAGAACATTAAAAATGGTTGTAGAGTAGAAAAAGTACTACGGTCAATTTGTGGCACTTAGAGGGTTGATATTAACATACAAACATACACAGCATAGATATATATTTAAGTTTAGCAAAAGGTTTGGTTTCTAGTTTGTACAATTTTTTCTTGTTTGTAACATTAAACAAATTTTAAATATACATATGTACATATACATTCATAAGTAGGTATGACTTGTGTAATTGCGATAATACATTTCTTACGCATATGGCTTATGAGTTGCAAGTTGTGTTAGTTTTTAGGCTAATTCTTGAAATATTTGGAGCTTCGGTCGACGCATTGTATTGTATAAATCCTCGATCGATCAGGTTAGTTCAGTTAAGTAAAATGTTTGAAAACCGAGTTCCCCTCCTACATACATATATGTATGTGAATGCTTTAAACTAAAAACAGAAAATCTGAAAGAGATGCAGATGAATGCATACACGCTTTTATATGCATTGTATAGTTACTATAATATATTATATATGTATATATAGAGTACAAGGTTGCGACAACTTTGAAATCATATGTTTGATGACGAATTTGGTTCAACTTGATTGGTTGCCATAGTCTCTCAAATATGCTTGTGTTGCTTTATTTTGAAACCGCTTAAAATATTAATAATAAAAAACTACAAACTGATTATTTACTTGTAAACAATTAGCAATAATTTTTATATGAGAAGTTATGAAGTGGCTTTGCATTTAAAAAACTTAATTTAGTCTTAAAAAATATTTCTAATTTCCTGATGACATTTAAAAGAATGACATATTTAAATCCGTTATAAAATTTGTAAAAAGATGTAAAAATCGAACATGAAATTTGATTTCTACACCTTTTTTTATGATCAAGTGCATTTGAGAAGTGATAGCGCCTCAAATTTTGCAAAAATAGCAGCAACTTTTGCCAAACTTAAGGCGGAGGAAACTAACATAATGTAAACTTTTGGATAATAGGATATTCATGACACTGTTTTTGTATCAGTATATCACAGAAATATGGTACTTTTTCAGGTTCACATGCTTGTACTTAGTTGTGTTTTAGTCCATCTTATATACATTTATATATATATATATATATAATAAATAATGATTTGAACCAAAAACGCAAAATTAAAAAACAATAATATAATCAATGATTTTTTTTTTCAAAATCGTCCCACTGTAGCTATGACGATTTTGTTTCAATGACGTCAAGGTTGTCGTAACGTTGTATTCTATGAACACATAAAAACATCAAAGAGAAAAGCATTTAGAAAAAGTAAGGAAGCTCTTAGTTCGGGTGTAACTGAACATTTTATATTCCGTAAGGTAAAGTGATGTATGGGATTTTCGTAAATATTATAACGCTTTTATTAGCTTCACCTGTATGTATGTATGTTTGTCTGTTTGCATATTTGTAACTTTTTCCTGTGCAAGCGATAATTTCAGTATAAATTCAGATATCTTGATGAAACTTGCTACATACGCTCCTTGGCAACCAAGAGAGGTCGTATTGCAGTTGGGCGTATTCGAACCACGCCCACAAAACGTCATTGAAGCTTACTCAATCAAATTTTGGGGTGTAAAGCCTTTTTACCAATCCTTCATACGCTGTGAAAATGGGTAAAATCATATAATAACTACGCCCACTCCCCATATAACGGTTATGTTGAAAACTATTGAAAATGCGTTAACTCACTAAATTAATGCGGCATAAGCAATAAATTTCACAAACAAAATGGTAGGGAAGAGCTTTATAGAAGGAGGTGTAAAAATTGTAAAATGTACGTGGCATCACCAACCTTAAGGTGAAATCCTATATCTCAGGAACTATCGAATTAATTTCAGCCCAATTTGGTGTGTGAGGTTACCCAGCTATTCATATCTCACTCTGTGAAAATAGGCGAAATCGTACGACTATAAAACGATGCAGCTAATATCATGAATTATCTATCTATATAAATATAGTTTAAAAAACTAAAAAACATGCTTCCAAGCCACTTCAAACTAAAAAGTGAAAAATAATTCCCTATATAAACTGTCAGAAATATTGACCGAAAAATACTTGTATTATTATGAGAAAAGCGTGGGAGGGTTTTCGACATATTTTTCGTATGTAAGCATGTATGTACTTATATCGAGCACATCATACATGGGAGTCTTGAATTGATTGAATGATTTTTTAGTATACTTAGTTGAAATTTTTGTAGTATACTGGTTCAATTCAATATGCAATTTGTATAGCCAATTTTCTAAGAGTCTAACCTGTGGGTTATGTTTGGTCCAAACATATCTGTACTTAACAGCTTCCTAAACAGACATTACTAAAACTGCTAACAGTAAATTAAACATATCACACATATGCATACATATGTATATATGTATACTATAACAAATGCTTTCTAAAAGCGCCAGTCATGATGATTCCCAAAAAGTGCTCTTTTTATTACATAATTTAATATATACATACATACATATATACTTCAATGTTATATATAATTATTTTATGTATATATATATATGTATGTATGTATATACAATAAATCACTCAACGCTAGAGTATGGGAAAGAAATGAAAACAGTATTATTTTTACAAATAATAACCATTTGAGAACTGCTGACATCCGTATATATCTATATATATATAGATTTACAAGAGAATTTAATATATACGTGCGCATACACGAAAAACAGTGAGTTAATTCTTTCTAGAAATATTCACATTACCTATAATATTTATATGTGTATGCGTGTATTATATATATGTATATAAATTAATATTAATGTATGTATATACTTTTGTAAGTGAGTTTGCAGGTACTCATTTTGCGCCTTTGCTACTAAAATCTAGAGATATTAAAAGTCAATCATAATTTTTGTGGTATTTTAGCAGAGAACATATAAAAATATATTTTACGTTATGAATCTAGCGCTTAGGGCAACAAGCTGCTAGCTGTGTACAATGTCTGCTCTCGGGACATCAAAGAACAATACATGTACATATATTACAATTCTACCATTCTGGGGGAATACGTTGATATATTTTACTTTCATTTCGATGCGTTCTTATATGTACGTCTCTTTTCTCAATCCACATACATACATATAACTATTGTGTATAAATTGTATTGAAGTAAACACCGGCACCACTGATCTCACCTTAAACGTGCCACCCAGCAGTAAAGTGAGTAATCAGAATGCGTTCACTTGACAACTACTTTTAAAGCGCGGCCGACTTTAGGTTTGTGCTTAATATCATATGAAGTTGGTTATTTTCAATACTCGCAGTATCTTATTTAAAAAACGCTATTACTTGTATATGGAAAATATGTTTATATTTCCAAATCAATATAAACCACTTAAGCTTAAAGCTGAGAAGTGCCTTAGTTACTATCGTTTTACGCTTAAGTTTTGTCAGTGTCGGGTTGTCTTACTATGCAAGTTAGATATTTATAACATATTTATTATTTACATAGTCCTAGCGCTCCTTTAATGTTGATACGATCACTAGAGAGTTCGACGCAAAATTCTTTTGGACAAAACAGTAATTTTCGTTGTTTAAGATTGAAAATTCAGATGGTGTTTGTGTACTTTTAACTACTACGCCTAGATTTGTATCGTCAAAGTTTCATAATAATAGTTCTAATGGCTTGTATAAAAAGTTGTATTTAGTTGGATATATTCAGTTCAAAGTTCCAAATAGCTGAGAGGCCCAACTTCAACCGATTTATGAGAATTGATTTTCCGTTATATAAAACAGTTATGTAACTACTCTTTTCATAAAACCCTTCCGTTTGACAGTGGGTTAGATATCAGAGACAATATGCCGGCTGCTGATGTGCAAGTAAATATATATGTACATATTTAAAACTCGGCAAATACAACGTTGTATGGGCAATTAAAAAGTTGCCGGCTTGGCGCTCGCGAATATGGCGCTCGCAAATTTATATATTTACATATATATATATGTAAGTATGTAATTGGGTATATAAGTTGGCGGAGCGTCATTACTTTGCTTTGCCGGCGCGGAAAAGCTGTATAAAGGCGAAATTGCAGAACCAATTTCAGTTTGTCTTTCGCCTTGCAGCTGTGAGTTTCTATTTGGGGAATATTTGTGAACAAGTGAGCTTGTGTTAGAAAAGTGTATATTTAAATGTAGTGATGTCATCGTAATTGATATATGTATTTAATTCAAGAAGCTTTCGATGCTCATCCAAAATATTTAGCGTTTTGCTCTACTAGCTTGGAAAAAGACAGCGTCTTCAAGAGTTTAGTTTTTTCGCTATGTGCAGATTCTATTCATACAAAATGCTGACGTTTCAATATGTTCTACTTTGCTTTGACATCCATATGTATTTACTTATGTATGGTACATATAAATACATTTGTTTGCAATGTTGATTAAAAAAAAAAAAAATTCCGAAGCTGTGTCGGCAAAAAAAGAAATTAATGTATTGTATATACATAAATGTATGTATATGTAAATATGTATGTATGTCTAATGTGATACTTAAATTTCAAACAGCTGTTATTGTAAAAATGTAATTTTGCCGGATTCCAATTGGATTTTTATGAACTGTTTATTTAGAGATTTAGGCGGTAAATAAACAGAAGAGACTATAAAAAGTCATAAATAAATTATTGAATAGAGCTAATGTCAAATAGTTAATAAATGTAATACAATTCACTAAAGTATATTTTATTTTATTCTTAACAGAATCTACACAACATAACAATGGATTTTTATTACTTGCCCGGTTCTGCACCATGCCGTTCAGTACTTTTGACTGCCAAGAATCTCGGCATCGAATTGAATAAGAAATTATTGAATTTGCAAGCTGGTGAGCATTTGAAACCTGAGTTCTTGAAGATCAATCCACAGCATACTATTCCCACTTTGGTGGACGATGGCTTCGCTTTATGGGAATCTCGTGCTATTCTTGTGTACTTGGTCGAGAAATACGGCAAGGACGATACCCTTTTCCCTAAGTGCCCCAAGAAGCAAGCTGTCGTAAATCAACGCTTATACTTCGACATGGGCACCCTGTACAAGTCTTTCGCCGACTACTACTACCCACAAATCTTCGCCAAACAACCTGCTGATCCTGAAATGTACAAGAAGATTGAAATCGCTTTCGATTTCCTCAATACTTTCTTAGAAGGCAGCAACTATGTGGCTGGCGATCAAGTGACCGTGGCTGATTTAGCTATTTTAGCTACAGTATCAACCTTCGATGTTGCTCAATTCGATTTCAGCAAGTATGCCAATGTTGCCAGATGGTACGAAAATGCTAAGAAACTTCCAGGTTGGAAAGAGAACTGGGAGGGTTCTTTGGAATTCAAGAAATTCTTTGACTAAATGCTATATAAATGATAATTGCTAATGCTGTTATTGTATGGAATTTGCGTTTTGTGTAAATTGTGATTTATGTGATTTCTGCACATGTTTTAGTAATAAAAATTTAATTGAAAACAACGTAGAAACCAATTTTTTATTGTTTGTGAACAACTAAATTAATATATAGAATGGTCCAGTGGTAAAGTTAAAATTATCGCAATTTTATGCGTTTACTTTATAACAACAACAGAGGAAACGTCAAAGGCGAAATAAAATATATGTATATATTATTAGCGTGATGAGCTGAGTAGCCTAGTCCCCCAGTTTTTGAGATATCGTTTGCAAATTTTGCTCACGTTTTTCCCAAAAAGCCGATCTTTTGTTCGTTTGCCGATATCGGACCAGTATAGCATTGGCTGTCCTACAAACGTGACAAATTTTGTTATCTAATAGCGGATCACTTCCGGGAGATAATAAGTCAAATACGTCAAATGCGTTCGGAGGCGTGTTATATGAGAATCGTGTTATCAGAATAATGATAAAGAATTGCTTTGAGTCAAAATGAAAATTATCAACAGTTGTTTGTTCGAGAAGACGGTTTCACATTTTAAATGAATATTAAAGCTTTTTGAGATATAGTGTAAAATATTTAGTTATTCTGTAATCGTAAATAACTTATACGTGTAAATATGTATGATTGCACTGTATTTAAGTCTTATATGTAATCTGCTCAATAAAGCTTTATGGAAATTAGAATGGAACATTTATATCATAAAAACTATTTTTGGGTAGTATTGGTATCGAAAATACTCAATTCCAGAGAAACGTCTCTGAAAAAGTACATTTTTTTATTTCAGTACATCTGCACTCGGTCTTCCCGACAGTAACACAGACCTTATACATATTTTTTTGTTGTAGTACTGAAAAAGACCCAATTGGTTTACAATGTTTTAAAATTATTATCATTGTAATTGCGTCAAGGCTTTTAAATATTTAATAAAATTTGCAATGAACAGATATTTTAATTTATGTTGAGTTATTTTGATTGTAGATATCATCGAATGACCTACTTATATCGAACTTCTACTCGAGAGCAGCCTTCGTTCCGCCAGCTTCCAATTTGAAAATATTTTAATGCCGCTAAATGCAGTTTACGGTTATATACCGGATCGGTATACTCAAACTTAGTTCACTGTATATTAATTGTTTACGAGCACCTTTTTGCTGTAGATCATATTTAATATGCCAGACACACATCGCTTCCCTGGAATTCAAGAATTATGCACATATATAAAAGCATTTATATACATATAAATTCAATAGCGCGGCAGAAGCTTTGAAAAATTTTAACTGTCTGAGCCGGTATAGTTACATTAGTTGTTGTGCGCAGTGCAGTTAAAGTTAAGTATACCAAGTTAGTTTTTACATAAAAATATGGATTATTGAAATAAAGGGCCAGAATAGCAAATATTTGGCTCCTTGGTGTTACTGAATGAATTTAGATTTAATCGAGGTCGGATTTCGGAGATTAGCTTATGACACAACTATGGACTCTCTGACGTTATGACATACATTCTTTCGACAGTGAGATAGCGCATATCTCTAGCTGTAAAGCAATAACTTATATTGAGAGTAGAGAATAGTGTAAAGAAAATGCGTTATTAGTTAACTTGACAAACCTTTGAGCAATAATATGTGTGACTGCAATTCAGAGGTAACATTCAGATATGATTATCTCCGAATACTTAAAAAAAAAATCGCGCAAATAATTTTCAATTTATACCCTGAACAGGATATATTGAGTTTGCCACGTAGTTTGTAACACCCAGATGGAAGCGTCGGAGACCCTACAAAATATATATACTATAAATGATCAGTATGATGCGCTGAGATGATTTTGCCATGTCAGCTTACCTGTCACCAACATCAAATTGTAAAAGCTCTTTCGTAGTTACGTACGATTACATTTTTTCAGCAAATTTTTATTGTATGTTATTACATATTGTTTGTCTCCTGGCATCCCTGCTTGTAAGTTTAATTTGTTTACACTTAGACTAAATAATTGTATATTGCTCAGACTATAAATTGGTATGTATATATTATTATATATAAAGCGTTTAGCTATAATAATTAATTTAGTTTCAAAGTATCTTTGAGGCCACGCAGTCATATTATGTTGAGTGAGCCGAGATAAAAGTTAAACAGAGAATCGTTATCAATTTATTGTTAGCTCTTTTGACTACTACTCATATATAGTTTGTGCATTTTGTCTTTCCTCATTCCAGCTTAAAAACTTCGAAGTCACCAACATGGACTTGTACTATTTCTCCGGTTCTGCACCATGCCACGCAGTGTTACTCACTGCTAAAAATCTCGACATTAAATTGAATAAGAAATTCGTAGACTTGGAAGCAAGAGAAAATATGAGCCATGAATTCGTGAAGATCAATCCACAGAAAGTCGTGCCTACTTTGGTTGACAACGAGTTTACTCTGTGGGAATCACGCGCGATTATGATTTACTTGGTACAAGAATATGGCAAAGATGATTCGTTGTATCCCAAGTGTCCCAAGAAGCAAGCTATCGTCAATCAGCGCTTATACTTCGACATGAACACTTTGTACAACTCTTTCTCCGACTATTATTATCCACAACTCTTTTTTAATAAACCCTTGGTGCCTGAACTGTATAAAAATATGGAGACTGCTATGGATCTCTTGAACACTTTCCTGGAGGGCAACAAATATGTGGCGGGCGATCAATTGACCGTGGCTGATTTATCTATTTTTGCATCGTTATCCATCTTCGATGTTGCGAATTTCAATTTCAGCAAGTATGCCAATGTAGCCAGATGGTACGAAAATGCTAAGAAACTTCCAGGTTGGGAAGAAAACTGGGCAGGTTGCTTGGAATTCAAGAAGCTATTTGTGTAGGCAGAAACATCTTCATATATGGTGCATATTTATATGCATTGCTTTATTATCACCAGTGGAATTGGGGTTTACAAAGCAAGTAGCGGAAGAAAAATACCTATATACATTAATAGTCAGTATAAACTAATCATAATAACTAAGTGTAATCTAAGATATGACGAAATTGAAACGTTTAATAAACCATTACCACGTATTTCTAACAGCTTAAATTTTTTTTTGTTTACTGCTTAACTCTAGAGAAGTAAAAGTCATAAAATACTTCATAATTAGAACCATATCAACCACAAGCATAACTAATCTAACTAAATCGCCGTCTGGCTTTGTTCGACTTAAGACACTATAATTTTTTATGTGTTGGTATTGCACAAGATGCCAATCGACAGACTTCCGACAGAAATTGAAAAATTAGCTATAGGCTAGTTTAGTATAGAACAAAACAAGAAAAAACGTTAACTTCGGTTGCACCGTAGCTAAAATACCCTTCACAAATACAAAGGTTCCTTACAAGAACTTGATTCCGATCTAATTTCCTTAAGATACCTCGTCAAATCAAAGTGTTTTCCATGCAAGCACTTCATTCCGGTTGTTGAGTTTGTATGGCAGCTATATGCTATATTCAACCGATCTACACAATTTCTTCGGATAAGATACCTCGTCAAATGAAAGAGTTTTCCATGCAAGCACTTGATTCCAAAAGTTCAGTTTGTATCACAGCTATATACTATAGTAATCTGATCTAAACAATTTCTTCGGAGATTACATTGTTGCCTTAGAAAATAGCTCATGCCAAATTTCGTGAAGATATTACGTCAAATAAAAAAGTTTCTCATACAAGCACTTGATTCCGATTGTTTAGTTTCTATGAGAGCTATATGCTAAAGGGGTAGTTTGTGTATATACAGACAGACAGGACATAGCTAAATCAACTCAGCTCATCATGCTGATCATTTATGTATATTTTTTAGGGTCTCCGACGTTTCCTTCTGGGTGATACAAACTACTTTTACTACTAACATACTTTTTATACAGAGTTTTAATTGAAATGTGATAACTGGTTCGCTTTCAGATAGGAAGTGCTACAAGTGAATGAGTATGCCTCACTGTTTGTTACATTTCTGTACGGATATGTGCTCATGTGACAATGCTTCTTAGCTGTGACTACAAGCATTTGCTTATAAAGCAATTTAAATAATTATCGCAGCTGAATTAAAGAGATAACATAGCAACTGCTTTAATGAAAACAAATTGGTTGGACTCTTATATAGATTTTCGTTTGGATAATGAAATGGCAACATGTCGTAGTATTTATGTGGATTTTGATTGTTCAGTTTGTATGGCAGCGATATGCTATAGTATCGGCGGTTCCAAAAAATAAGCATGTGGATCCATCCTTTTTTCAAAAATGTGTAAAACAAATGTCAACTGTCATGTACATACATACTTGTATATACTTATCCATCAATACTATTTCCCAGTCTGTAAACAAATTTATAGAAAGCTCTTCAAGCTTGAGCGTAGGGACAAATGCACTCCATTTGGAACTCTATAAAATATTGCAACTAAAAATGCCATGTAAGAGTTTCGCTACCTCAGCTATTCTATTTGCATTATTAGTCGTTCACCTGATATCGGCCTTACTGTTATTGTTGTTGTTTTTAAGTACACAATGACTTAGCATATTTAATAGCTATGGAAAATTACATTCTTTGTCATTGATGCGTTCATTACAGATATTCATTTGTGTTTGTATATGCAGTTCTACTATCTCACGCAAGTGGTCTAGCAATTTTATTGTTACTTCTACGATGACTTGAATTTTGCAAACGTCGTATTACATACTTACATACATGCATGCATGGTAAGTTTTGCACTGTATGTGCATATGTACCATATATTAATACGGTTTGTTACATTAATTTCACAATAATTTTATTGACTGTAGTCAGAAAACATTAGGTGATTTCGATCCTCGAGCTTTTCAAAGCTCTATTTTTCTACTATGTAAAAGAGAGCTTAATATAAATCAATGCAGCATAAACACATATAGTATGTATGTATATCTTCGTATGTGCACTTGTTTGTTTAGTTATGTTGAAGTATAATTTAGTTTTTACTAAAAACTTTGTTCTGATCACCACCCTGTATATTTTGTGCAAAATCATAATTTAAATTAATGAAGCGTAAATTAATTTAAACGCAAACTAATTACAGCGCTATGCTTTAATATGAATGGGATTATTCCGCAGAAGTGACATGCCATTAATTGAATTACATTGCAATTTCTCAAATGAGGCAGTGATATCAAAAATAAGCTAATCAGTGATATGTTTTGAAGTCGAAGAACATAAAAATCGAAAAGATAGCACAGAATATGATATATTAATGCAAAAAGCGTTTTTTTTTCAAATCTTCTAGAATATATTTTGTTTAATAAACCTACAAGTGATAAAAAGTAGAGGAAAAATATCTAAACTTTCTATATTTTTGAACCTTTCTATGCTATTCGGATAACAACACAACTGCCACTAATTTGCATTTTTAAGCTTTCCAAAAGCCAGTTACTAAATTTCAAACTGACATTTGTTTTTCAAACTTTCATCTATTATAAATTTTTAAGGAGTATTTATAATTTCATAAGAATAACACCTGTCCCAATATTAACAACCACCACTGTTTGACCGTTTTCACATAATTTCTTTTTGACCTTTTGCGAAAACATTTGCATTGTCTTTGTTACCGTCAGCGCATGCGCATAGCTGCAGTTTACCTGTGCAGCGATAAGAAAGGACCTGGCACCATACAAATAGCGATACATACCTGCAAGATAAGTGGTTGTGGCCGACTGGATTGAGTAATGCGGGAAAATTTGAAATTGTTAATCTAAAAACTAAAGGTAAGCAGACACGTGAAGAGATTAGTCTGGAGAAATGCAAACACAGCAGTAGGTGGATCATTATGAATTACAGCGAAACCTTGGAAATTAGCTATAGATGTAAATACCCGGAAGTACGTGCGGATATTTCCAGTCTGGTGTGCTAAACATGTGTTTCACAAACAAACATATCGTTATATCACAGAGTGTCCTTACAGCCTCGATATTCGAGTTTATAAATAAGTGTAGCGCAGTTTAGAGGCGGCCAGTCGTTTTGACACTTTAGAAGCAGTACAACTTGAAGAACACAACTCTTTAGACGATTGCCGAGAGATGAAACTATCCACATTGTTGAAGAGTTTCGCACTAATACTCCTGCTCGGCTCAGGAACTCTGCATGCAGTGCCGCTAGATACAATAGCGAATGCGACGACGTCACAAATTGAAGTCGCCGCCACAAATGCAGCTGAAGTGCCAAACTCTAGAGATGAGCATCAAAATGTCACACCCGAAAATCAGACTGAACTTGAGGCTGCTGCTAGCGAGCAAAAACCACAAACTCTTCCGGCGGTATGCTATTATTATAAAATAATTACTCATTTAACTTCAATACTTATAATTGAAATCATAATAATTAATTTTTAGGTAAATTCAGGCAGTGCGAATGGCGATGCCGCAAACTCGCTGTACGCCAACTTCCTGACACCCGAGGCTATTCAGCAGTATATTAGTCAATTTGGTGCGGCTTATCCTGGTTATGCTGCCTATCCGGCGCCCATAGGCTATGCGGCAGCTGCGCCTCCTCCACCACCACCCGGCACCGGCCCCATCTATCCGGGCCCTTATGTCGTGCAGACTGGCTATGAAGGCTACTTAGTTCCGGCGCCAAATACAGCTGTAGAAGCTACAAATAATAGCAACAGCAATTCACTTTTAAGTCCCTTCACTTATTTGACGAACCTTTTCTCGGTGCTGATGATGTCGGCTTTGTTTCGTGTCGTTGCCACTGTTCTCGGCGCGATCGGTATGATATTTTTTGGCGGGGCCCTGTCCAGATTCGTATGCAATTTTACACCGCTTTGTACAGCTGTTGAGTATTTGAAGAGCGACAATGCGGAACGTGTGGGGCGCATCATAGCCGAGGGCATGACACCGGAACGTGTTCGACGTGCTACGGTATTTGTTCAGAACGCAATACGCAAATATCACGAACTTCAGAAGTTTGTGGGAAGTGACGAAAAGGATGACTAAGGCGCAGTATAAATTTTAATGGGGTAAATTACTGCAAAGGATCTTAGGAGATATTTTTAATTTCAATATTAAATAAATACGTATGCATGTATGTATGTAAATAAACCTTAAATGTTAATAAGAAAAATAAAAATAACAACGTAAACACTAACGGTTATAAACGATTTCGTTTGTTTGCAAAATAATGTTATTGCTTTCTGAGTTTGTCAATACGTTCATAGATCATATTCGAATATTGCTAGGCATGCCACTTTTGCAAATTTATTGACTAATTACTAGTAATAACCAACTTTTACTGCTAAAATTAATGGTAATTGTCTTAAGAAAAATCAGTTTGAAAACTAGCTTCGAACCTGTTATGAGAATATGAGAGCCAATGCTTTTCTACTGGGAAGATATCATATTAATATTATATATGTAAATTTAATAGCTGGCTTGTTATTAGTCTACAAGTTAAACACAGCTGAAAATGGGGCAGATGTCAATATTGCTATAATCATTACGAGTCATGCATGGCGGCATATACACACTTGCATAAGTATGTATGTACTTTAAATAAAATATGATAGTATTCATTCACCGTATGCTTTATTAAAACCTTGGCTTGCCTGATATGTCGCCCATCGAAAAATGTATATGAATGTTAAAGTAATTTGTGATTCGGACAGGTTGCTAGAACTTTTATTTAAAAAAAAATTTAAAATTTTTCGAAAACAAATTTAAATACGTCTATAATTATAGTAGCTGAGTAGCAGAACAAACAACTGCTATAAACCACTGATGGGCATAATCAAATAAAGATAGCATAACAATTATACGTATTACTTTAATAAGACATCCATATACTCTCTACCATTGATTTTAACTGTATAACTTTCTTGTGCAAAAGTGCAAATTTTTTTTAAGAAATGGGCTGAGCTCGAATTTATCAAACACAGATAGTAATTGAAATTTGCTGCGTCAAACAGCGGGAGTTCCATAACAAAGGTATCACCATGGTATCCGAAAAACGTCGAAACAATAATTTCCGTGGATAAAGTTATCGTTTATGCAAAAACGTACGCGATGAATGGGGTGATTGAACGGCTTTGTTATAATTGCTGTCTAAAACTTTTCATTAGAAAACAATATTATAAAATTATGGCTATGCAAGTATTTTTTTAACAATTTTTTTTAATACACGGCTGTTTTTATCATTTCTATCAATTATCGATGACGTACCAATACTGTATTGGAAAATATATAGTACAAAAAATCTAGCGGTATTTTCCCAACCTAATTATCTTCACATACACTTAAAATGAGTTACAAATTTGAGTTCATCGTACTATGTTATCTATTCTAAATTGACTAATACCGTGATAAAATTTAAAATCACGAAATAACATATCTAAACTCGAGTTCTTCGAGAGCACTACCAAAAAATTAACGATGAAGTATATTTCAGGTTTAACGGGTACGTTAATTAAAGTATTTAGTGTGTGTATAATTCTGAAGAGACTCTCCGGGTCTCCGCGTATCTTTAAAAATGTACTCTCTGGTTAATGCTATTGGTCCAAACATTTTTCAGACGAAAGATGTTACCAACATATGGTCAATATTGAGTACTATAAGCAAATGATATTCGGTTCCTTAACAATGTAGAATATATTTGTATCATATTATATGGGAGTATTTTTTATATAATAGATTTTACTAATCATTAAAACTTTCGCTACAGTGTTACTTTATATAGTACTATAACTTATATAAATCACTTATACCATACGAAAAAGTCGACTTGCTTCTGGGTATCGATCCAAATCAGTTTTTATACCCGAACAGGGTATATTACAATAAGTTTGCCACGGTGTTTGTAACACCCAGAAGGAAAAGTCGGAGACCCTATAAAGTACATATGTATATATGTACAATAATTGATCAGCCTGACGAACTGAGTCGATTTAGCCATATCCGTTTGTCTGTATATTTTTACCCTTGTTTTTCTCACAAAGAAGCTACTCATTTGTCGAAATCACCGATATCGGATTACTAAAGCATATAGCTGCCAAACAAACTGAACGATCGGAATAAGATGTTTGTAAGGAAAGCTGAATCATTTGACGAGATTTCTTCGAAAAATTTGGTTTGGGTTATTGTCTAAGGCAATAGTGCAATCTTCGAAGAAATTGTTCAGATCGGAATTCTATAGCATATAGCTGCCATACAAACTGAACGATCGATTTCAAGTGCTTGTATACGAAACTTTTTCATCTGTGGATATATCGTCCCGAAATTTGGCATAGGTTATTGCCTAAGGCAATGATACAATCTCCGATGGAATGAATCAGATTGAGTCACTATAGCATAAAGCTGCCATAAAAATTGACCGAATAAAGTTCTTGTAAGGGATTTATTGTATTTGTGAAGGATATTATAGCTGAGTTGCGACCGAAGTTAATGTTTTTTCTTGATTTTGTATAAATCGAGTCATAAGTAAACGGAGAAAGTGCTTTTTTACTTAACACTCAATCTTTCGAAATAAATTGGTTTTGTTCAATATCAAAAAAAAGATATGTACATATGTATATACAAACATATATTTGCAATTTAAACATAAACGTATGGGTAAAAACACGTAGTCCTATGAGAAGATGCTTTTGTACTTGTTTCTACAAATAACAGGGAATAAAAAATAGATTAAATGAACACCCATATTTATATACATATGTGGCTATAAGCGTATGCATGTATCTCCAGATATGTACTCAAGTGTGCAGTGAATTTTAATTTTTGAGCTTTATCGCTTTGAACTTAGGTAATGCCCTGCCTTCCGTTTATTATTAAATATTATGTTTGTTCCTATTATTTACCACATGTGTGTACACATGCAAAATTTTTATAACTTTTTAGCTTTAATTTGTCATTTGTCGCTCTTTTATACTATCCACAGCTATTTTAGAGATTTGTTTGAGTTCTCTCATATTTTTATTTCTACCGGCAAGTTATACATACATATGTATTTACATACATACAAGAAAAAAAATTTATATACCAGAATTATAAGAAAGAAGAATTTCTGAGTCTTCTGTCTACCTTAAAGCACTACAAAAATATTTTTTATTCGAAAGATTTGCTGAATACATATTTATGTATCTATATGTGTATTTAAGTGAGAGAGATTCAGTCTGAAAGAAAATGAGAAGTGTGTCGGAAATTATTTTAATATTTAGTTTTAAAAAATAGATTTATTCACATAGTGTTTCTACCCTAGAATATGATGCTGCTCAAAAAATGAGAAATGACAACGTACAATGTTTTGAACGGCATGCCGGGATTGCCATTGATTATTGGTATACTCTAGATCCGGGGAATTTTTTATTTGTACAGTATTTTATTTGTACAGTAGTAGTAGTAGTAGCATTTAGCACGAAACAGTGAGAGAGTCTACATCAAAAACGCTCGAATAAATTGTTTGAAACTAACATGGAAAGTATTGCCCATGATATATAACTTTTGATGTATGTAATTCGGTTTCGATGGATGCTGGAAATGGGTATTGGTATCAATATGGACGCACGCATTGCCGCCCAGACATCTGGCTGTCGTATTCAAAAAGTTGTCCAACAAAATTGGAAATGGTCAAATTAAACGAAAAACGAGACAGTTATTTTTTCACAGTTATTGAGTGTTTATTTATTGACTTAAAACGTTGGCACACCTTGCATTTACCGCAAACACAACTATGCTGGTCTTAATTAGCTTGTTCTTGATTATTATTATAATTTTTTTTATCTATTAAAAAATTTTAATTATCTGATAATTTTTTGGCAATTACTGGTTGTGTGCCACAAATTCTTATCATTATTTAGCCTGCGATTAGTAGACAATATTGAACCATTGAAAGTTTGGTTCAATAAACCGACAGTTCGCACATAAAACCCAAATCAAATGAAAGAAATTGCTAATTCAACAAATTTCATTTGAAATGTAATCTGAATAGCGCTCATATATGTACATACATATTGTGTTTCAATTTTTATCATTTTTTACACCTAGAAAATTTAGGATTTTTCTTCTTTATCTAATTTAGTCGACTACTTAAAATACAATATATTAGGATAAAAGTGATGAGTTTATTTATTATATATTATATTAGTGCTAGTGAAATTGTATTATACTCGTCGTTTAGAGACAAAGTGTGAGCCAGAGAGCATTTACGATCAGCTGTGTGTATGAACAAGCTAATGATATTTTATTAGAGTACGTCCGATCAGAAAATGTCAAATTGCGATAAAACGATCTCTGGTTTTCGATGACTGACAGTTGAGTGTAGCAACGGATTTCTCTGCAGGGAATATACAAATATTTCAGTTTACTCATACTCTCGTCAACTGTAAGTCCACATTGGTATGGAAAGCCAAAGTTATGGCTGCGCTCACACATACTCATTTCTGCACAATATTTTATACTCTATACTTATGTCTCATTATTATAAAACCTATAAAGGGAAGCGTGTAGAGACTTGCTGTTCAGTTTCAGCACTCTTCTAGTGATATTAAGATATTCAACTTTCGAAAGTGGTGGGTAATAGAATAATAAGAATTCAATTTCTTTATCTGCTAGCATATCAAACGTTCTAGAATAGTTAAAACAAAAATAAATATTTATATTATATATTATATATATATATCAAAAGTTTTCATTTTGACTTTTCAGACGCAGTATGGATTTCTACTATCTTCCGCTATCGGCTCCTTGTCGTGCTGTCACCATGACCGCCGAAACGCTCGGCATTAAATTGAATAAGATACAGTTAGATTTGTTTGCAGGAGCTCATCTGAAACCAGAGTTTCTTAAACTAAACCCACAACATACAATACCCACATTGGTGGATAACGGTTTTGCAGTTTGGGAATCACGTGCCATAATTGTCTATTTGGCCGAAAAATACAGTAAAAATGAATCGATATACCCGAAATGTCCCAAGAAGCGCGCTCTCATCAACCAACGTTTGTTCTTTGATGCCGGCACATTATACCAGGCTTTCTATGACAGTTATATAATAAGATTTTTATCTAATAAGCCTATTGACGAAGAAAAGATCAAAAAAATTGAAACGGCTTTTGAGTTCTTGAATACCTTCCTGGAAGGACAGACCTATGTTGCCGGCGATTCTTTAACTCTGGCTGATATCTCATTGTTAGCAACAGTGTCATCTTTTGACGTTGCCAAATACGATTTTAGTAAATATGCCAATGTGTCTAGATGGTACGAGAATTTGAAGAAGAGTACACCCGGTTGGAAAGAAAACTGGGCTGGCTGTGTCGAGTATGAGAAATTATTAAATAAAAGTTCAGGTTAAGTTAATACTTGTAAGAACTATATATCTAAGTATATAAATGAAAAAGAATAAGAAGAAATCAATATACTATGTATGTTTATTTATATTGTTTGAAAATATTTTTTTTCTTTTGCACACTACTTCAGCATATCCGAATTTCTGAATAATCAAATTTGAGTCAAATAACACAGAAAATAGAACAAATATAATCGATGATGAGTTTTCTCGAGATTAGGTAATCAGCCGAACGAGTTTGTGTTTATCAATTGACCAGTGTTTAAGACATTCTAAGCTTAATTGTTATTTATTATGTTCACCATGATATAGACGAGGCTATTTGCAAAATAGGGTTGTATCTATTGAGAAATAAGAAAAAAAATCAGTGGATTAACTAGTAGTACGATGGTTGCAAAATACTTTATTACTGGCTTATTTAACTGATGGTTATGTAGTGTAAGTATTTATACATGTACATACATGTGTATTTAGAAAGTTGAACAAAGTATTACCTCATACTTAGTGATCCCCAAATAATAGCATTGGCGAGAATTAGCGCTAAAAGAGAGCATGCTAAAAGCATATACTATAATTCTTTGGTTCTCAAATAAAGCTCTTTTAAGAGCTTTTACTGATCACCAGCATTTTACATATGCATTAATTTACACACATGCATACATATGGCGACTGAAATTTTTATTTATTGACACATGCAATGCGTCTTTGTACATGTTTGCCTTTAATCAGGAATCATAAAAGGGAATATTTACATACACATATGTATATATTGGTAATTAGTTCATCATTTGTTTGGTTAGTTTAACATGAGTTACTTATGCTAGATTAACCAAACAAAATATTTTATGTTACAATTTCAATAGAATTTTTTAACATTGCTTCACATGCAACGTAAGGTAACCACTCTAGATAACAGAAGTATAATATGTTAAATCTAGTAGCCTTCAAATTTTTACCCGAAAACGGTGAAGTAATTTTTTTATTTCAAGTGTGATGTGCTCGATATACGAAAAATATGGCCTAAACCATCCCACGTTTTTCTCTCAATAATACAAGTATTTTTCGGTCAATATTTCTGTCAGTTTATATTTTAAAAGGAATTATTTTTAACTTTTTAGTTTGAAGTGTAAAGGTATGTTTTTTAGTATTTTAAGCCCTTGGTGACACTTCTAATTAGTTTACACAGCTGTTTTTAGTGAAAATTGCTATAATCATGGCATACACAGTGGCCCGGAAGTGTACATCAACCTACGAGAGAAAATGGGGTGTTTATATTAAAAATTAAATAGTTTTAGAATAGTGTAAAAATAACATATATCAACTGCCTGTTATATTCATATAAACCGGAAAATAATAAAGTGATACATACATATATGGTATATGGGGTATATATGGATAGAAGTATATAATCTTTGCAAGAAAATCAGTAATTAAAATTAACGTTCAGTCATCGAAAATCAGAGATCGTTTTATGTTGAGTTGATAAGTGTGCTCTCAAATTTTTAGACATTTACTTTATTATGTTAATTTCCCCACAGGATGTAACCGAAAACTGGTTAATGTGGTAATTTGACATTGTCTGTATTTGTACCCGAAATGGTAGAGGCTGTGCACATGGACGAACGATTTTACAATCCAAAGTGTGACATATTCGCTTTCAAAATACTTTTAATTTTTTCCAATACAATGGACCGACCATAACAAAATACTATTAATTATTATATATGTTAGAATGCTCCATCGATCTATATCGGTCTCCATTGACAGTAACGGTGTCACTAGCTTCATTGCGAATGAAGTACGGACCGATGATTCCACCAGACCAAAAAGCACATCAAACTGTCAATTTAAGTGAATGTAATGGTTGTTCATGAATAATTTGTGAGTTTTCTTCACACCAGAATCGACAGTTTTGATATTTAATGCACCACTCAGATGAAAGTGAGCCTCATCGGAGATATTGATTTTGTTAAAACAAGCGTTATCGTTTCAAGTTGTTCCAGGGCAAAATCAAACTGATCCGTGGTGACCATTTGGCCGACATTTTATTCAAACCATAAAAAAACAAAACCCATTTTGAACAAATTTGAGTGTTTTTTATTCATTTTAACATGACGTCGATTTTGTTCGATCCTATGCAAAATTTCGGATAGATATCCGAAAAACTGAGGGACTGTTTTGCATATACATACATATAGAGACAGACAGAGGGCAGGGTCTAAATCGACTCAGCTCGTCACGCTGATCATTGTAATCTTATTTTTTTTGGCGGGACTGAAGCTAAAAGGATTGTCAAAAATTATTAAAAAAAAGAAATGGTTGCAAATAGTTTCAAATAGTTTCAAATAGTTTTTTCTTAACTGATTTGACTAGTGGTTTTTTATTAGCTGAAATTCAGCGATTTTCAAATAACACTCAGCGATTCCCAATTACTGCTCGTTGCGAGCAAGCACATGCTTTTGTCTACAACAATGCTTTGAAGTATAATTCAGCGGTTCGCAAATAAAGCTCTTTTTAAAAGCATATTCTGATTACAAGCATTTATACATACCATAAATATGTTTGTGGAGGTAATTTTTGCTGAATCATCTTAATTGACATTTTTATTCGTTTGTACATGTAAAACATACTTAGTTATCGATATGTGTACATACATGCATACGTATTTATTTAAAACACATGTATGTAAACAAATCTTTGTAGAGTTTGTTGGCATTGTTCTAGTGGAAAAAACAGCATTGAGATAACATGAGTGGTTCTCAACTACTGCTCTTTTATTCTATTTTATGCCTGAATGTGTGTATATTCTCTCTCTCTCTCTCTCTTTCAAATCCACACAAGTATGCATAGAAATGAAAATGTACAATCATTTTTGATTCAAGAGCTAGTGAAAGTTAGTAAGTATATTTGTAAATATGTATGAAAATTAGGGTGTATCGTTAATGCTACGAAAAAGGACGAGAAAAAATTTGACAAAAAAAAAAATTACATTAACGAAAATACAACTTTCGACTTTTGCGAGCTTAGTTAGTTATTAGAGGAGTTTTAAATACAGAGCCGAAATGTTTAGCAGAAAATGAAGAACAGATTATACATTTTATTTTATTTCTATTTGGGTTTTTCGTTCCATATGAAAACTTTAAATAACAAGTAAGGAAGAGCTAAGTTCGGATGTAACCGAACATTTTATACTCTCGCAAAGTCAAATGGTATACTCGTTTGAGATTTCTTTGTGGATTGGCTGATATTTTCGGTAGAAGGTCAACTATAGGCACTGGGGTCCACATATTTAGTACTTAGGGGCTTGAACATTTTTGGTTCGATTTAGACAATTTTTGGTCACAAGGTGGCATACTTTAAACGTATTATTCACGCAAAGTTTTACCCCGATATAATCATTGTTGCTTGATATGCATAGTGGAAAGTGAAAGAATCAGATGGATATGGGTTTTCACCTAAAAGTGGGCTGTGCCACGCCCACTGTCTAATTTTGAACGCGGTTCCTATAAAGTCATCTCATACCATCCCAGAGATAAAATTTAATGTCTCTGGCGTGTTTAGTGCTTGATTTATCGCGCTTTTAGTAGTTTTTAACATTACCGTTATATGGGGAGTGGGCGGAGTTGCCACCCGATTTCAACTATTTTCACACCGTCAAAGTGCTAAAAACATTTGCTTCCAGTGAATTTTGTTATTATAGCAATAGCGGTTTAGGAGATATGCACATTAATCCTATCAGAGGCGGGACCACGCCCACTTAAAAAAAAAAAAAACTGCAGATGCCCCTCCCTATTGTGATCCTGTATACCAAATAAGAGTCTTGTATCTTGTTGTGGAGCTTAGTTATGGCAATTTATTTGTTTTTGATTAATGGCGTTTTGTGGGCGTGGCAGTGATCCGATTACATCTGCAATACCAACCGTCTCACGGTACCAAGAAACATGTCTACCAAGTTTCATAAAGATATCTCAATTTTTACTCAAGTTAGAGCTTGCACGGACGGACAGACGGACGGACAGACGGACGGACAGACGGACGGACGGACAGACAGTCACCTGGATTTAAACTCGTCTCTTCATCCTGATCATTTATATATATATAACCCTATATCTAACTCGATTAGTTTTATGTGATACAAACAACCGTTAGGTGAACAAAACTATTATACTCTGTAGCAACAGGTTGCGAGAGTATACAAATGAAGTTAAAAATTCTGCCTTATAGGGAAATTTGTTTTCTGTATGTGTGTTAATTTTAACCCAAAAATTCGATATTATTTTTTTTTTTACTTGAAACAATTTTCTTTATTAACTTTTAAATCGAAAGTTCTCAAAATCTTGTGATTACGTGTTAAAAAGTATATATTATACATGAAGGGTAGAGATGATATCATAATTCTAGAAATATCTAAGTTACTAGCCTGTGGAACACTTATTCGAAAAATATTAAAAAAGTGTGTAAAGTTTGTGACTCCCTGCATTAAGCATATGAATACGTTAATATAACAAAACTGTAGTTTAGCTAAAGGTGTCAAATGAAAAAAAATATATTTATTGGTCAATTGGTTTCTAATAGCGCCTATTTCAAATAACTGGGTCCACAATTAGCATGCAATGAAACATTTAAGCAATAGTTAGTTTCTAACTATTCTGTTAGCTTTCATGAATTCTTATATGAAAAGTTGGTTTACCGTTATCCCTTAGTATGAAATATAATCTTTATAACATACATACTCATATGTCCATGTTACAAAGCTAGATTATACCCGTATCAAACAATATTATAGTAATTAACTTATATCTAGCCATATCGATCGTTATCAATATCATCGTTATCATCTGGCGTGTACTCTCTCATATTTGTGTGTGTGCGACTAGTGCCTCTATTTTTGTCTACGTTTTGTATTGCCTCTATAGCAGTTTAGGAAGAGAATCAGTCATTCATTTCATATCTTGTGCGTAATTATGTGTGACCTTCTGCTGCGCCTTATCGCCCGCAATATTTTTGGTATAAAAAGTTTCGTGCGTCTATTGGATTTTCAGTTGCGACATTGAACTTATCCAAGCGATTTCTGAAGTCAACCACCTTTAATATATGTAAGTGAGTTGCGAATGGAAATATTGGGTCAAACGCTAGCAGATGAGAGTGGGGGGAGGGAGGGGGGTAAGGCAGTCGGTTATTTGAAGTAGTTTATTTTCAAGTGTCTGTTACACTCAATACGAGAGGTTTGTGTTATGTTATTACATCACACATTAGTACGATATAAAAACTGTTCACTTGTTTAACCTAAATCTAATTATTTGTTACATTTAAATTATTTACAGACAAAAAATGGATTTTTACTATGTGCCTGCGTCCCCTCCTTGCCGCGCCGTCCTGTTGGCCGCAAAAGCTTTAGGAGTCAATTTAAATAAAAAGCTGCTAAATTTGTTTGCTGGAGAGCATTTGAAGCCCGAATTTCTTAAACTCAATCCACAACATACAGTTCCCACATTGGTAGATAACGGTTTCTCTATTTGGGAGTCACGTGTCATAACTGTCTATTTGGCCGAAAAATACGGCAGAAATGATTCCTTGTATCCGAAAAACCCGAAAAAGCGCGCTGTCATCAATCAACGTCTCTTCTTCGATCTCTCCACAATATATCAGGCCTTTATCGATACATACGTTAAACAATACCTCTTTAAGCAACCAGTCGATGCAGAGAAATACAAGGCAATCGATACAGCTTTTGAATTATTGGACACATTCCTGGAGGGACAGAATTATGCTGCTGGAGATTCTTATACTCTGGCTGATATTTCATTGCTAGCAACAGTGTCATCTTATGAAGCTGTCAACTATGATTTCAGTAAATATATCAATGTAGCCAGATGGTACGAGAATTTGAAGAAGAGTGCACCTGGTTGGGAAGAAAATTGGGCTGGCTGCTTGGAATATAAAAATCTATTAGGCCTTTAAGTTTACAACACTAGGTACTACAATTTTGTGCTCAGGTTTACTTGGATAAATTATGTAAATAAAAAGTTAAAATTTCACAAAATTTGACTCCGGTCCATTATTCGGCGCTATTGCCGCTGTCGTTTACGTTTTAAAACGAAATAAGAATGGCCATGTGGTATTCCTGTTGGCGTTATCGACACTTATCGAAAATAAATTGGTATTCCCCATTTTGAGACGATTATGATAACAACATAGAAACGGTCGTTCTTTGTCGTTGTAGTAATTGAGAGCGAGATAGAAACGAGCGCGATTATTTGAAGTGATTATGAAAATATGAATATGAATAATTCCGTATGTCAAAGGTTTAAGAGAGGATTTTTTTTATTTATTCGCAATTTTTTTAAGGAATATTTTGAAGAAACCTAATGCCACTCCATTTCGGGACGGAGACGGTTGGCATAAATTAAAGAAAATTTGTAAAATTGCATTTTAATGTCTATGAATGCGGCCGGTTGTAAAATTTAAATAAAGATATTAAGGACAAGGGATATCTATAAAAATTTCGTTAATCACATCTGAAAGTATTGATGGTCTGTGGTCTGTAATTTTCGAAAATGCTACAAATAAAAACTTGAGATATAATGCAATGATTATATAAATTATAACTACAAGTATAAACTTATTTGAACTTTTTCGGTTGGCAATTTCGAAATATTTTAAAAATAACTGTTAATAAAGTTATTTACAAGTTCAATATCGCGCCGGAAAGTTTTTGTCTTGACAGAGTGTTCGCAGCATAAAAAAAACTTTATCCTTTTTTTAAAGTACTAGTCTAAACTAGAATACTGTCAAAGTTCCATGACATTATATCCAATCGTTCTTAAGTTATTGGTCAATGTGACTCTATCTCTTCTATTTTTGAATAAAAAGTGAATTCGAGCTTTGATAAGACAAAGTAATAAATTGATAAGTTTACAACAAATCGGCTTCGGTCACATACTTGTATTTATGTACTCAAAGGTAGCCTGTTGTATTCGTTTAAATATGTTTGAAAATTAGCTCTCCTCCATTATGGCTCTCACAGATAAGAAACATATTTATTTATTTTAATTTTATCAACGATATTCCTGAAGCCGGTACTCTAGATAACTAAAACTATAAAACAAAATTTAGTATGGAATTTGAAGTGGCCACTGTTGAAAGAGTTTGCTACCGAGCAACATCAAAAATAATACAACTAAGTAAATTTGAAGGAATATTAGAACTATGTATATATATACATCTCCACTAAATACTTCATTAAACGTTTGCTTCCACTTGTGGTGGGATATTTTTGAAGCTCCTAATAACCTGTAGGTTGTAAGCCGACAACGAATGGCTAATGAAAAAATCTGTTTCATGACAGAAATACTTTTGAGGGGTCGCCATTGCACTCATATGTATATATATGTATGTATATAATTAAATTTCAAGTGTATCTTATTAATTTCAGGCCTACCTACCAACATATTTTCTTTTCGTTTGCTTTCTTATCAGTGAAATGGATCTTTACTACAGTGCAGCATCGGGTCCCTGTCGTGCGATAGTCGTGACAGCTCAACCAATTGAAGTTGAGTTAAACAAAATTCCGATGGACCTCCGCATATATTAAGATTAACCCTCAACACACTGTTCCAACTTTGGTGGATAACGGATTTTCTATATGGGATTGGCATGCCATCATAATCTACCTGGTAGAACAATATGCTAAAGCAGATTCCCTCTACCCATCGTACCATCAAAAGCGTGGACTCATCAATCAACGACTATACTTCGATGTGGATCTTTATTCCATATTTTGGAATTACTTTTCGGCTGCTGTCCTTAAAAAAACGCCTTACGCCAGAAATATTAGAAAATTTGAAGAAATAATTAGAATTATTTAATACACTGCTGGGTGGCAACAAGTTTGCTGTTGGTGATTCGCTGACGTTGGCTGATCTGTCACTATTGGCTACAGTGACCACTTTGGATGTGTTCTCGACATTATCGGGATTCGAAGTCAACATAAAACAGTACACTAATATTGAAAAGTGGTATGAGAACATGAAGGATGTTGCTCCAGGTTATCAACAGAACTTGAACGATATTTTGGCAATCAACAACTACTTTGTGAAGTAAAAATGTTCGCGCAGGTTATACTCCGTATTAAAAGTTAAATAAATTGTGTTTTTTTTTAAATTAGAATCGAAAGATTTCAGTTGAAGTTTATTACATATATACATATAATACAATTCATTGCAATTATTCGAAAGTATTATTTGTTAATGTAATTATATTATAAGTTATTATATAATGTAAGTAGGGAATTTAAGAAATAATTTGGAACAAAAATCTCTTAAAAATCGAAAAATTAAATAAATTGCTATTGAAGGTAGCCGTAGAACATATATTAATTGAACTTGAGGTTCTTTGGCATGCACAGTGTTGTATGTGCGGTGAAAAATACAAAAAATCTTTATCAAAAGTTGAAAAATTTAAGAGAGAGTTTTGATTCCTTAATGACTAAAGTACAAAAGAGGGAAATTGTGAGCCGTCAAAGAAAGGTAAATTGAGTTTATATTCTCATAGAACGGTAAAAATTTTGAGGTACACATATGTTAGAGATGTCAAAATAAAAAACGAGTGTAAAACTAAGCTTAAAAAATGTTTAATCAGTTCCGATTTTCTATATTTTATTTGGACAGATAACGCATAAAGCTAAAGGAGGTATCTTAATAGGATATAGAAAGAAATTATTTAAATTTTCAGAAGGCCTTACACCACAGTTAGAATTACACATTCTGAATCGACTTTCATACAAAGATTTTAAAAATTGGATTGAAATGTCGAATGGATAAAAAGTAATTGTTAGACTTCACAACAACTCATTCTCATGATTATTGTAATATAACATGCGATATAATACTTTCATAGAAGTCATTGTATAATTCAAATAAATACGATAAGGGCAAATTTTCTGTTTTGTTTGTGTATTCTTCAGCTATTTTCACTTTATCTGTTATGGCACCGGGGTTCGGATAACTTTTTTCTTTAGTAGTTGATATTCTAAGTATTTTCACAAAACGCACTATGCCGTTACGATAATTCTCGATTTTATAGCATATCGCACTCAACTCAGCGTGTTAGTCATTCATATTTGTTTGGAGTGTGCATTCTCGCAAGTCACGATTGCATTATCAAAATGCATTTCAAAATAAAACTCAATCTATGAGCTTTAAAACAATGTTATTGCCTTTTTTCTTATTGTGTTTCCAAAGTTATTGTTTTCGTTGCTCTCAGCTCTTCATGCTCCCCACATTGCCGTTATGAGAATAAAAGGTAGATACACGTTAGCGTGTATTGCTTCACCGAAGAAACAAAATGTTTTTACCTTTTCATCGAAAATAACTTAAATAGACACACAGTCATGAGCAAGAATTCAGTCGAGCGTTGTTGAACAGCTGTGAAGTTGCTTTTACGAATATAAGCGCTTTTTACGGAGGAGTGCTAATAAGTAAAAAAGTAAAAAATAAAAATAATTTCCAAACAGGTATGTCAAAGCGAAACGACAATGGTTTGTTGTGCCAACAACAATTGCAATTACAAATGTGAATATAGCAATTAAGTTTAAACAGCGGGCTAATGTTTAAGCCAAAGTAATCATATAGCACTTATTTGCCAGTACTTTGTGTTTAAAGCTGCTTTTTCTCGTTCCGCTTCAGCATGGATTTCTATTATTCGCCTGGTTCTCCGCCCTGTCGTGCCGTGCTTCTAACTGCTAAGTGTGTCGGCATTGAGTTAAACAAGAAACTTCTTGATATGCGCGCTGGTGAGCACCTAAAGCCCGAGTTCCTGAAGATCAACCCACAACACACGATCCCCACATTGGTCGACAATGACTTCGCGCTCTGGGAATCACGCGCCATCATGATTTACCTAGTGGAGCAATATGCCAAAACCGACTCTCTCTACTCCAAGTGCCCCGAAACGCGTGCGCTCATCAATCAGCGTTTGTATTTCGACATGAATCTCTATTTAACATTCGGCAAGTACTGTTATAAACCTGCAATGACCAAGACCCCATTCGATCCAGAACAGCGCAAGCAGTTGGAAACACAGTTGGAATTATTCAACACCTTGTTGGCAGGGAACAACTTTGTCATTGGCGAGTCGCTGACTTTGGCTGATTTGGCACTTGTGGCCACAATTAGCACCATAGACGTGGCCCAAATCCTAAGAGGCTTCAACGTCGATGTAAGAAAGTATGCAAACATCCACAAGTGGTATGAGAACATGCGGGCGGTCACGCCTGGCTTCAAAGAGAATCACGAAGGTTGCTTGGAGATGAAGAAATTCTTGGAGGACAAATAAATATCTATATGTGTGTATGTATGTATTTATATGTACGGTATGCATTTTATTTTTTACAACTTTTATAAAGTTCCGCAGTATTGCTCAAATATATACATATTTATACATATAAATAAATCTGTATATTCATATGTAAGTTAAGCGAATGAATGAAAAAACCAGTTTTTTCTCTTTGTTCTCCTATGAGTTGTTTTTTGTACTCTTATTGGTTCGAGAATTCTCTGCGAGCATAGTTGTTAGCCAACTTCGTTGCTGTCGATTCAGGTATTGACCTCAGTTATCTTTTATTTTATACACGTTACACTCGCCAACAAAGTTTCACTTTTCGACTGCTTACAAGTTTTATTTTTCAATAAAAATTGTCCACAAAATTTGTTGTGTTATGATAAATGGTTCGACATGGTATCATCAAAAAGAGTTTGTGAAAATGTTCCAAATAATTTTTTATTCACTTTGGGTGTGTATACCTTTATTGAAAATCTTTCAAATGGAACAGTGCTCCTGGGGACACGCTGAAAATGAAAGTTAGCGCTTGGATTCCGCAAGAAATATGAAAAAGGCAGTTTCAGTTTCTTCCCTTGCAAGAAATCACTGTCAATTACTGTTTTAAAGACAGCGTACCATAACCGAAAATCACTCGTTTCTAACTTAATCTAGGGTTGGGCAGTGTAATATATTTCTATTTAGTTTTACAGATTCTGCTAAAAACACCAGTCCATAAAATCGAGAGATAGTACTGATAAGATTAAATGTGATATAAATGTAAGAAATAAAGATTGAATTTGATATAGATAGTGGGTAATAACAGCGATTCATTGCCAAAGCGGTCTAATTCGAATTGCAATTTTGTAATTTAATGTTTTGATTATAATTGACGGGCGTATTATATCAGTATGTGAATGAGATTTTTATGAACCAGCTCGATTTCCGGCAGGGCACGTCTGACTTGCATAAAATGATAACCTTCCTGTGCGCTCATAATTACAACTCAATTTATTGCCTTAAGCGCATATTTTCAATCAATATTATAATTTTTAAAATTATCATATCGGATTTTAAAATGTCTATGATATATATAAATGTGAATTTGATTCGATTCTTATTGCACTGAGCTACCATATAACTCTTATAAGAAAAGGTTTCACTTTAAAAATAATATAGTAATAGGATCTCTTTTTTGGCGATTTATTTCCAAGAAAAAGTCAATGTGACCAGATCCGGAGTATACGGTACAATACGGTACGATCATAACTCGACTCTATGTCGATTTTTTCCATCCATAGCAGCCTCTTTTGCACCTCCACCGAGTTCGTTGTCCACTTACAAGTAGTTTCGTCTGGAGCTGTCTTACTATAAAATATTCTCAGCTGATTCTTCAAATTATTCGTTAAACACTTCAAACGCACCATGAAATATATTCGCTAGCTTCGCTTTCTACCAAATGAGAGACTGGTACTTTTTAGAAAAATAAAAGATAAAAATTCACTACGCGTTTCTGTTTTATCGTTATCATATTTTCACTAGTTACGGTATACAATGGATTTTATTATGTTACTTATACTATAGAGGGCCGACTTGGTTGGAAGAGATTACACTCTCTAATTCAATATGTATTTAATATGCCCACTTTCAGAATTACTTTCCACAGTTTACACAAAGTTTACCGCTCCATTCCGCAGAAGAAAGTAAGTTAGAATACTTGAACACTTTCCCGCACAGCCAATCCTATGTGGGATGAGAACTTAACCATATCAGAAATCCCCATATATGCTTCTACTGCATTTTGCACTGGTAGGGTAGCGTAGCTTGGCTAAATTATTATAAATAAGAACTTGGAACTTTTGTTTGAACTGAATTTCTGTTAATAAAAGTTTATATTTTTTAAAATAAAATTAAATTACCTAATACCTTTTTTTTAATGTAATTTCGATTGATCCTGGTTTCCAAACTGTCCCATAGTAGAATATTTATTTCCTCCCTCCAGTTATAATCAAAATTCTATCACATGTTTGGCATAAAAGTTGCGTAAACATTCGACTAAGAATTATAAGTCAACTAATGCTGAGTCAAACATGAAAAAGTACTATTAGGGTGGGCACAAATAATATGTATACATAAACTTTTTAAAATTAAATATAATGTAAAGGAAACATTTCAAAAGATTATTGAAAGCTTAACCACACATAAAGGAGTTCCATTATATAACATTAATTTTCAGGAAAATTCAGCCAAAAAGACAAAACAAAGGAGTATATATCGACCATACTTACTTAAAAATTAACAAGATTATTTTAATTAATTTAATAGTTATATATGATTGAACTCTTGACATTCCATCTGTATATTTCGATTATTAAATTTAAATCAGTTATTTGTTTGATTCGACAAACCTTAAAGAGTGGCTAACGATGCTTTGTGTTACCATGTCTGTGAATTAGAATCTCTATAAATTTTTATAACAATAAACCCAATGACGTTGAGTAAGATACATCGATATGTATATGAAAAAGTTGTAAGTTCTATATCCGTTATATACCGAAAAAATCAGCCAATTTAAATCACATATTACGTATATAATTACTTTTAATTTCTTCTAGGTGAAAGTTTTATTTTTTATGCAATAAAGCTGGTAGGTATTAAAGTTTTGTGAATACGAGTATTGTTGAAAATTTAACATTGTTATATTTTAAAGCTACAATTTTAGATTCCGAATTTTCGTCTAAAAATTATTATTTAAAACTCTAAAGTATTAATAGGCCATTATTTTAACTCGGCTGTTTCTGTTGCTCTGAAGTAGAAAACTATTGATTTGATTTGTTTATCTCTCTATTATATATAAAAGTTTTCTGCTGCTGTCGAGAATCAACTAACATAAGAGCGAGCTAGCTCGCGCTCGGCGGGGGGGGGACTCCGCTGCGCTCCGGGACGCTCGCTTCGCTCGCTCGCCTAGTTTTCTATAATATAGTTACATATATTTTGCAAAAAATTTCCTGAACATCGTTATTATTGAACTATCTACAAATGAATTGGTCGGCAGCGCATGTTTACATTTGCCTTTACAGTTTTTATATATTTTTATCCATATCTCTATAATTTACTCATCGAATGCACAAATAATGATCTAAAACTTTTCAACAAACGCTGAATGCTCGAAGTTCTATGTTGTTTTAATATAATACTAAGTATTAAAGTTTATTATAAAATGAATAGTCTAACTGTCTGTTTCATTTATAAAATATTTTTATTTTGATATATTGTAAGACACACCCTAATGCATAAGTATGAATTTAAGTTTTGCCATAGAATGTTTTTTGCGTAAAGTATCTGTATGCTTCTTCTTTTTCTCCATCTGTCAACCATTTGAATTCTCATATCCTCTCTCTACAATCGTTCCTCATGCTGTATACAACAATTTATCTAAAAATTTGTGATGACACTTGGTTTGGTTTGCGACGATACACAATACAATAATATCACTTAGGAAACGACGCGCACTTATCGCGAATTTTACTACTGGTAATATATTTTATATTTTATAACACACACATACATATATAAGTACATATATACACGTACAGTGATGAAACTTGCCGGGTGCTAATCAATAAAGAACTGACATACCCAACAAACCAACCAGCGGGGTAGCCCAGTGAACAAACATGTTAGAAAGAAAAATATTTCCAAACTTTTCCAAAATTTTTTTACTCCCCAGGCAATTAAAACTTTGTTATTTATTAATAATTGGTAATGTGGAGATAGTATAACTAATAATACGTAACATGTTTACTACAAAAAATGTTGATCAAGCTGTACAATTTGGAAGGTGAAATAAAGTTTTGCTTAATCTTAAAAAGAGGTTTTTTTTGTATTTAAGTTTCTCTAATGCCGACTACATTTTTGTTTATTGGGACAACACAACTATCCTCACACTTGGAAAAACATATATATATATATATATATATACTCGTACATAAAGTATCAATTTATAGTTTCTCTGTAATTCTTCAAGTGATATAGTAGCAGTGAAACCTTTAAATAGAACACTATTTGCGACAGATTCGTAGTTGTGTATAGTTCTTAAGAGTGAAAGCATCTGAATTTAAGCAACTCATAAGGTAAATAAAGCAAATTGTTGTAGCCTATAAATTATATATAATAGTATAAGTATTTTTCCAAATTTTAGTGGTCATGGATTTCTATTACCTCCTCGAATCTGCGCCCTGCCGCTCTATTCTAATGCTCGCCAATGAATTGGGTCTTGAATTGAATCGCAAGTTGTTAAGCTTGGTGAATAATGAACACTTGACACCCGAATTTCTAAAGATCAATCCGCAGCATACCATTCCCACGTTGGTGGACAATGGCTACTCGGTTTGGGAATCACGCGTTATACTCATCTACTTGGTTGAAAAATATGGCAAAGACGACTCGCTCTACCCGCATTGTACCAAAAAGAGAGCTGTTATCAACCAGCGTCTATTCTTCGACCTTAGCTTGTATGCATTCTTTGCTGATTATTACTATCCCATTGCTAGAGATAAGCAGGCGCCAGTGCCGGAGCGCTTGACCAAACTTGAGAGCCAATTGGAATTTTTGAACACATTCTTGGACGGGCAAACATACGCCGCTAACGATAGTTTGTCGATTGCCGATTTCACTTTGTATGCCTCTGTCTCGACGATTGTGACAAGTTTGGGCTATGATTTGAGCAAATACCCAAACATTGTCAGATGGTTTGAACAGCTCAGCAAGACACTGCTAGGTGCAGACGAAAATCAGAAAGGCTGTGATTTATTTAAGATCTATTGGTAATTGCTGTGTCAGCGACCTACTCATGAACTGTGGCACTAGTGTGAAATATGGAACGTTTTAATTACAATAATAAAAATAAGTGCATATACATGTTACCGTAATTATTATAATCATATTCAATGTGTAGCTTATCAGTTCATTTTATATAAATAAAATATTGTTATCTTTTTGTACAGCAGAATAATATTGTAGTGTGTTGATAATTTAATTTAGTGAATCTAAGCTCATATTATCGTATTTCTAGCAATGTTAAAAGACAACGAAAAAGGTGGGTGTGGTTGTACCTACCTCAATCTTTGTTTCAGTGTCATATTAATTTCTAGGGGTGAGTGGCCATTTATCGCCATATAGCAAGCAGAAATATTGGCTCAAAAATCGAAAACTTTGTTGTAAATCAGAGTGGAGAGGAAGAACTTGCAAACTAATTTAGTAGGTGTGAGCGTGGCTGTATTCCCGGTATAAGAATCTCATTTTGACTAATGTATGCATATTAGTTGCTATTACTTTGCTTAGCACCTTAATAATATGAACGTGTTTAAATATATACATATGTACCAATGTTTATATGCATGCACTAGTGATCTCAAACCCGAAATTCCACTATTCTTAAAGTTTTGAGAATATTAGAATTCTTTATCATATCGGAATTTTCCATGATTGCTACAAAATATGGAAATAGATAGCGAAATTGTCTGGTGGAATTAATTAGTGTGAATATTTTCAGTTTTTTAATGAATTATATTCTCACGTGTCTTAAATGTGGTACGGCGTTGGCTGGAAGTGGACCAAATGATAGGAGTATCATTATGGTAGCTCTGTGATATCGATTTACAATTATTGCAAACTATCGTAAAATTAAATAATAAAAACCAGTCAAGACTGGCCGAATATTATAACTCTCGCAATTTGTAACAATCAAAGGTGTATTCGGTCTAAAGTCAACTGTTACGTCGAAAATTACAATATTGGAGATAGGGGAAAATCTGGACTGGTTTTGCCATCAAATTAAAATATGTTTAAAAATAAATCAACCCAATTTTGTTATGGTATATTTGGCATAAAGTCCATTAGAATCATTATATTTAGTATATGGGCGCTGGGGAAATACATGGACATCGAAGCTCATTGATTGATTTAATTTTGCTAAGATGCTTACATACTGACCGAGATTTATGGTATAAAATTAACCTGAATAGCAAAAATCATTTTATTAAAAACAGGGTCGCTAAAGGAAATACAGAACCGATTGTTCGCATTCTTAGCAACACACCAACATTATTAGCAGAAAGGTGCCCACTTAGTTTTTATTAAGAGATCTTAGAAATGGATATTTTCGGTATAAAGTGAGCTATGGTTACTGGCGATTTTATGTTATGTCTGGCGGTTTGAAAAGGTATGATCAGACTTCGATCATTTTTAGATAAGAGTTGACATATATCAGAGGCACTATTTGTGTTCTATTTCGTGTCGTGTGTTTTCTTTTATTCCGTGTGGTTATAGTCAGATTTTGCAATATTTGACCACTCTTAAATCCTGGATTGACCACGAGTCAAGTCAAGTGTATTCAGGCAAGGTCAAGGTAAAACGAAGTTAATCTAGAGGTCAAGCGGAAGATAGGGACCACACGATTACAATCTAGTTGCGCCTTACCACAAAAATACGTTCCGCCCATCTTAGAAAGTGTCGAGGAGAAGTTAATAGCTTATAATCTGAAAAAGAGTAACATGCGGCTTCTGTGTAAATTTTGCGTATCTCACGAATAATCTTTTGTAAATTTTTTGTAATAGTGCTTTATATACCTTTAAGTTATATTTGTTGGACCTAAATTTAAAATAACTGATATTTTGAATTTTTAATCATATGGGACACCCTATGATATCGTAAACTTGTAATAGTTTTAGTATAGTTCTTCTATTATTCCAGCTGAATTTGCGTTAATGTTCTACAAATATTTCGAATAAGTAAGTATACAGTAGACCATACGAAATTTATTCATCTGAAGTGAGTATAAGACTTTTTTGTTGGTTGATACTCAAAAAATGTTTACTTGGAATAAAAATTTATTTGTTGGAACCATTTTACTAATAAAGTAATTAGCCTTTGTTATACTGAAAGCCGAAGAATTTTAAAATCGTAAAAGCTGGAAAATGTACATACAACCCTAGCATCTTTCCATACATATGTACCAGTGACATACTTAAGACATCTTCCTATGCTAGTCAAAATTGTGGAATTCCCAAAAAACGAGAATTGAGAAAAACGAGAACAATAAGCTGTCAAAGATGGTTATAGAAGACTTCTTGATTGCAAGCAAAACTTGTTTATGAGAAAGAAATGTTACCGGCTCATAAATAATGGGAGTCACTAACATTTGGTTTAAAGATTCTGTAGTTTCGCAGAGAATTAAAGTAGATAAGTGTGTGATATACATATGCATATATGGTTGTATAGTTTAATGTAGGTATTACGTATGCATAGGGAAGTAGAGTAATATCGGTGCTCTGAATCATCTCATTGAACGATATCGCAAATGTTTTCGGAATTCCCATTTTATATTTATGTTAGATAAAAATATTTTTCTCTTATTGGGTGATGAATAAAGAGTAGTCAAAGGTATTTTATAAAATTGTGCAAAGTCTTAAACAATAATAATGTCCATAGGTATAAACGAACATTTGAGTGACCACTCAAATTTTAGTTTTGACCTTAAAGTTCATCGTAGAAATGTATTAAAGGAACGGTCAGAAATATCTTTTAACTTTTGTGATTTTTTTCTTTACTACTTAGTATAATATTAAGGTTCCCAACATAATGACAAATAGTGGTTGACATCCACTCTTATTATGTTGACTTCTATAGAAGGTATAGAAAGAACTTACTTTCAATAGACTTCCGACAACAATTTATGTAAGCCATCTATTAACTTATAATATCAGTTATAGTTTCTAAGTTAAAATCGGCACTTATTAGTCATATTAATTTATTTTTTTATAATAATGTTTTAATATTTATATCCTGAACAGGGTATAATAAGTTTGCCACAATGTTTGTAATACCCAAAAAGGACAGAGACAATATAAAGTATTTACAATACATATATGTATGTATAAATGATCAGATATATGTGCGAATTAGTCTCTCAGTTTTTGAGACATCGATTTGAAATTTTGCATCTGTTCTTTTCTCCCCAACAAGCTACTCATTTGTCGGAAAAGTCAATATCGGACCACTATAGCATATAACTGTCATACCAACTGAACGTTCGGAATATAAGTTGAGGTTTTTTTTGTTTTTAATTTTTTTAGGCTGACATGTTATCTTCGAAAAAATAAGAAACTGTATGAAAAAAATTGTAGTACTATAAATATCTCATTATACCATTCAGTGTCTGAACTGAAATAAAAAGTTTTTTTTAAATAATATTTTCTTTGGAATTTCTTGCCTTAGTCATTTTATGTTTTCCTGATTATTGCATTTTTATGCATACAAAAATATATTTTACTGATAACGGTGAAGCTATTTTTGCTTTTTTTCATTTTGCGGTAAGAGAAAAATTTCAAAGAGAAACTTATTTTCAGAGTTGATCTCTTAAAAATCGAACACTGTGCTCAAACAGTGTGTCATTCACGCCAGTGGCTTAGACCGGCAGTCGCTTGTGGATAAAAGCCAAACGTAAGTTGACTATAAAAGGCCAACAACTCGCCGCTACGACATCAGTTATTAATTCCCCGTTCAAGTTTAAACACTTAAGGTAAGTTTGAAGTTTAAGAGTTAAGAGCAAAGCCGATTAGAGTGTTTTAAAGTGTATACTTAATTTTTTTTAAAGATATATAATAGTGCCTCAGTATGTGGTTAATGAGCGTTCGAAACAAAAAATAGCATGTGTGTATATATTGATTTTATTTAAAAATGTTATTGTGTAAAAAGTGAAAGAAAATCAGCGTGAAGGTAGTTGAGTAATACATATTTGTTGATTGAAAAGTTTGGTTACCAGATTTATGAGCGCTATAGACGAGCTGTGTGGGCTTGACACTGTAATTTAGCTTTTGTTGGTAGTGGAAATCTTCTAGTAAAAATTACAGTTACGTTCTTTTGTTCTAGAATAAAAACGGAAAATATGATGAAGTATGCCAAAAACTTTGTTTGATTTCAGAAAACCTACAATAAACGAATGACTAATGACGAATAAATATACAAATAAGACTCTGAGCAGATACAAAGCTCTAAAATTACTTCGAAAACTGTATCTTTTACTACAGATACATACACACACATTTGCATACTAAAACAATTAACGTTAACTATTTTACTAGCTACCGTTTAGCTTTTTAATCCCCCTCCGTTTGAAGCGTGAATATTATGATTGAAACTGTTTGTACTTTTTTCCTACATAATACACGTAAGCAATTTGCTAAATGACTAAACTAAAGGCTATCGTAAGCATAACGAAAATCTTCGTCTTCATTAGGGTGGTTTTTATTTTTTGCTTAGCCTGAGGGTAAAATTTGTAGATTATAATAAAAGAAAATTTTTTTTAACATCTAAATGCTCACTTTTAAAGTAAATTTCGAGTTTTTTTGTTAAAAAAATTTTTTTTTTGGTTTAAACTCTTCACATTTATATAAAAATTACCGAATTTGACGGTTTTGGACTCAAAATTTATTTTAACGCTTAAGAAAAGCATGTTGTCGTTTAAGATTTTTTTTAAAACTGCAATAATGACCACAAACAATTTTTTTAAGTTGTTAATTTTAACTCGAAATTTACTTTAAAAGTGATTTTTTTTTTATATCTACAAATTCGATCTTCAGGCTAAGCAAAAAAAAAACCTTTTTCGCTCCACCCACCCTTGTCTTCATACATTTCTGTAATAAAACATCTCTCTCCCATTCCAGCATTTACCAAAAACAAAACAGTAACAAAATGGATTTCTACTACACCGCTGGCTCCTCACCTTGCCGTGCCGTCATCATGACCGCCAAAGCACTCAACGTCAACTTGAATAAGAAGAACCTGAATCTAATGGCCGGCGAGCACTTGACACCAGAGTATCTGAAAATCAATCCACAGCATACCATACCCACTTTGGTGGATAACGGTTTCGCTCTATGGGAGTCGCGCGCCATTATGGTCTATCTTGCTGAAAAATATGGCAAAGACGACACGTTGTACCCCAAGTGCCCGAAGAAGAAGGCCGTGATCAATCAGCGTTTGTACTTCGACATGGGCACACTGTATAAGAGCTTCGCCGACTACTACTACCCGCAATTATTCGCTAAGGCACCGGCTGATCCCGAGTTGTACAAGAAAATAGAGACGGCCTTCGAGTTGTTGGACACCTTCTTGGAGGGTCACAGCTATGTCGCCGGCGACGCACTCAGCTTGGCTGACATAGCAGTTGCAGCAACGGTCTCCACATTCGATGTGGCCGGTTTTGACTTCAGCAAATATGCTAATGTGGCTAAGTGGTATGCTAATGCCAAGCGGGTGGTTCCCGGCTTCGATGAGAACTGGCAGGGTTGCTTGGAGTTCAAGGCTAAATTCTTCCACTAAATACTCGTACAAATCTAGGCTGTAGCTTGTTGGAATTGTGTGCTTATTATTACTTATAATTGAAAGACAAATGTATTATTTGAATAAATATGTATTATTTTTTTAAGAATATTTTTGGTAAAATTGTATTTATTGCACTATCTACCACAAACCAACAAATACTCTTGTAACAGGTACTTTGCTCCTAAATAGAATAGATTTCATAAACTAAATATACATACATACAAATTGTATAAGCTTTATGGAGAACACTTTTTCCATTGCACTAAAAAATCGAACTGGACTTCGTATAGTCCATCGGCCGTCGAAACGATTGCTCCAAGTTGTGCAGACGCTCCTCCAGATCGTTCATGGAGTTGCGCAGTATATGACCGCGCGGGCGCAGCGAAATCTGCGGCGAGTGCTGCACCAAGTCATCCTTAACGCCGGAGAAGGAGTGTCGCACGCCCGAGCGTTTCTCGAAGTTCGTGTTTTGATAGTCGTGTCGGTGGTGATGATCGCACAATGAGCTATGCAAGCCATGCGAGCTGCGGCAATTGGATGCCACCAGGGGCTCGTCATTTTTAAGCGAGTCCTCGTAATTGTCACTTTAAGTGCACAGAGCGTGAGTGTGTATTTGGAAGGATATATTTCTCTCAATTACCTGCTGTCGTTGCCGATCGCTGCCGTGCCGCTACCGCCACTCGCACTCATATTGTTGTTGTTGCTGTGCTTATGTTTGCCATGTCTGGGACAGAGCAGTTCCGATGCGTTCAGCTTCTGCGAATGCTGCGAACTGGTTTTGAAGGAATCCGGCGATGTTTCGTACAACTCCCGACTGCTGCGAAAGTCGACGCCCGAATCCTGACCGTTCGAGTGCAGCGAAAACATGGAGGTCTCGTATGCGCTGGGTGCACTACGAAAAGTAGTAAAATTGCATTCTTTAGGGCAACATATATATATACAACAACATATATGTATGTATATAAATATTTTTATCTGCAAGCAAGTACATACATGTGTATGTATATATACTATATACTTTAGGCATATGCGAGCTTTTAACTCAGATATTTGTTTGCAATTGCGGTAAAACCCATATTTCTATTGCACATTTGTATTGATGCATGTATGTATGTATATCCTAGGTACAGCATTCCAATCGAGTATAATATATGTGGTAAATGCATACATACATACATACAAATATGCATGTAAAGGCTAATGATTTTATCTTACTTTTAAATGTTTGTATTTTTGTTGTTGTTTTTTCTATGTGAACTTACAGATTATTCACTGGTTGGCATACATTGTACGAGAGCACGAATGGCAGCGACGTGGGTTCGTTCTCCATTGTTGTACATCGATTGCTTGCCGCTAACTTGGCAACGGACTTGGGAAGTGGCACATCGATATATTCACGCTGTCGTTGACTGTCGAAGGAAAAATAAAAAAATTATAATAATTTTGTTATGTATATGTACTCTCGTATTTTAGACATCTATAGTAATATATATTTTGAAAGCGGCTTCTCATTGTCTTCGACAAAAAAAAATTGTAAATATTTCTTAAGAATATTTTTTATTGTAAAGCAAAGCTGTTCAACATTCGGTTATGCCCTCTTAAAGCAGTAAATTAAGATATAATTGCCGATTAGACCTTGGAAACTTTTTGACCGAATTTTTTATGAAATCGAGAGTAAACTTTAAGTATGAATTTTAAGTAACACTTAGCGACTGTTGTACACTATTTTTATGAGAAACTCTTTTGTGTAAAGTATATACTCAAATGTACCGGTAATATTCAAGATAGCTTTCTCTTTAACTACACTAGTATCTACACTGTATAACTTTCAGATTTATACAAGTATGGAATGGTGAGTTTGTAAGCTTCGGAGCTTTTTGCATGGCTTTAAACTTTATCTCTTTTATTCTGTATCAAAACAATACTTTTAAATAGGGCTCAGCCATGATCAGTAGATCTCTTTTACACGGAGTCAGTCGAAATGGATTCTAAAGTCATACTTTTGTTCGATATCATCTAAAAAATGTTATGTAAGAGTATGTTAAAAGCAAATCACATTATTTTGATAATTGAGCGATAGTTGTTTGTAAATTCGAACACAGGAAAACCACAGATATGGAGGATAAGAAAGTAAAGTCTGCGAAACTAGTCTATTATGAAGGCAAGTAGGTTTTATACACTGAACGGGTAGTAAGTTTGCCAGAAAGTTTGTAACAACCCACCGGAGATCTCACATGTGATGAGCTGAGTCGATTTAGTCCTGTCTCTCTGTATACATGTACGCGAATCAGTCTTTCAGTTTTTGAGATGTTGATACGAAATTTTGCACACGGTCTTTTCTTTTCAAGAATCTGCTTATTTGTTGAAACCGTCGATATCGGATCACTATAGCATATAGCTGTCATACAAACTGACCGATCTAAATCATGTTCTTGTATAGAAAACTTTTTATTTGATAAGATATCTTCACAAAGTTTGGCACATATTATCTTCTAAGGCAACGCAATGATCTCCAAACAAATTGTTCAGAACGGACCTTTATAGCATATAGCTGTCACTCAAACATTTTATTATATATGAATTGTGACTGTGACGGGTATTAAGAGGGTTTAAAGAGAGAAAAAAAGTGGCGAGGGCTTTCGACTATCGTTCCAATTAGATATTTCAGGGGTTTACTTAGTATGTAGTATATGGCATATGTGCAACTGTTTGCTATATGTTAATAAACAACAAAAAACCTCAAGCGGTACGATATCAATGTCCTATATTTTTTATTCGGATAACTTCCAATATTTGCTTTCACAGGCTGCACCTATTTTACTTGCTCTGGAATGCCCCTAATACAACTGTAAATATTTGTTTGTACTTGCACCAATTCAGGTCTGACCCAAATTTGACGATACGAGTTTACTACATACGATATAAAGAGTTGAAGGTGTCTTCTGTTGCAATAAGCTGATCTAATTCTGGTCTAGACTTACTCTGCATGATGTTGGTGGGACACTTGCTGTTGCTGCTGCGCATGTCCACTCTGAGTGTAGTGATTGAGATGCGAATGAAGCGCGTGATTATGGCTATGCGGATGATGGTGTGAATGCTGGTGTGGATGCAACGATTGCAACTGATTATGTTGCTGCTGCTGATGTTGTTGATACTCACTATGCGGTGAAGCGGCAACAGCCGTAGACGGTGTCTGCGATGAGGACGAACACACCGACTCTGGAATGAAAGAACTTGTGGTCTTGACTGACTTACCGCAAAGCTGTACTTGTTGTTGTTGCTGCTGTTGCAATTGCTTATTCTGATGTTGTTGCTTATGTTGCAACTGGCGCTGGCGATTGTGATGTTGGCGGCAGCTGCCGGCAACCGCTAGGCCAGTACGTGCAACACTGTAAGTGAGACCGGTTTCCGATGAGGGAAATTCCGGCTGTGTCCAAGTGGTGCGGCTAATAAGGCGGCCAGTGAACAGTGAACAGTGATCGGTAATCGACGATTTACAGGCGGCAAAGTGATGGTTGTTGTTGTTGTAGTTAAATGTGCATTTTAATGAGCATATAAAATAGGTGTGTGTGTGTGATTAAAGTGGGCACAAATAATTTGTTTTTTCTTAAAGCTGTATACCAATATATAATATAAGCACATACATATGTATGTACAAACACACAGCTATATACATACATATATACATATATTTATAAATTACTTGTTCTATATGGCTCTAAGCAGTACTGTACATTGTTCTAGTGGTCTTGGCCTCAAACATGACTTTGGTCGCACTTGCGCACAAACAGGTTGGCATTGAGACGCTTGAATAAATGTCGTGGGCAAAAGAAACACCACAAATATGGGTTGCACATGTTACCAATGAATCGTTTGGTAGCATGCCTTCAACTGCCACACATTGCGCTGTAATAGATGAGTGGTTGTTGTTACGATTGTTATTTGTTGTCGTTGTTGTTGTTATATCTCCTTATCTGCATGGTCTTTTACAGTTATAAATTTTTGTGTACGAGTTCGAATGCCAGAAACAGGCAGGCCGACGATCTACCATCGACGTGAACTAGGCTCGCCAGCCTTGGCTAATAGATAATGAGTTCCTCTTAAGTGACGGCCATCCACTGCCCATCTAGCCATCTTGCCATGAAATGTGCGCAAAAATTTCTGGCATAATTAAGTGACGAACGAGAAATAAACAAACAACCAACTCGTTTCCATTACTTCACATTTATTGTTTCATGTGTTCAAAGAGTTCCTTATCTTGTACTAACATTAACTATGGCTAACCTACGGCTAAATATGCTTGTATATATGCTTGTATGTATGTATGTACTTATATGGCGACTAAACTACGCGTAATACCAGACAAATCTGCTCTGTTTTTTTTTTCTCACACGCCACACATTCTCTGTGTGTATGTGTGTGTGTATCAGTCTTAACATATTTCCAATTACAACAAAGCAACTTAAAATGCATGTAAATGCACGTTTGTGCGTATGTGTAAGTGAAAGAGTTCTTAACTTAATGTTAGTACCAATTGTGTTTTGATCTTTACCGTTTCTGCCGCAGACACAGGAAGCAAAGTGCTATCATCGTGGCTCCGATTCCGCATAGTACAATCAAGACAATGCTGACAATCTCCAAGCCGCTGATGAAGTTCCCCGAATGCGGTGTGTTATGCGTAAGTTGTCCAAATTCAGCGAGTTCTATGATACGTGGCATTAGTTTTTTGTTTTCGTAGTTGCCACTATTTCCTTGTTGCTGTTGTAATTGAAGAGCATCTAGCTGTAGGCCAGCAAGCAGTCTAAAATATGGAAAACAATTAGTGTCGCAATTATAAATTCCAAATTGAGTTTAAATTCGTAACGGTTAAGTTACGTATACGCCAAGTAACATTCAGTTAAAAATGCTTAACATAAACTAATGTGGAGAGAACAGCGCAAGAAAACGATTTTTTTTTTTACAAATAAGCGAAGCTCACACATAAAATGCAGCAGAAAACTAAGGTCTATTCAACTTTTTAAAATTCTGCGTCTTTGGTATGGTAAATGAACTGAAGAGACTAGCCCGCATGCCAGAAGGCGCAATAAATCGTGAAACACCAACAGCAG